TAATGAGTACAAGAGGGAACTGTTCTTTTTGTAAAAAAAAAAAAAAAAAAGTAAAAGGCAATAGGTTAAAATTACTGTCTGGCCCACACCTGCCATAGTAGGTCCTCCAGTCACAGGCAATGGAAATGAGCTGCAGGAGGAGCTGGACACAAGACAGCTTGTGAAAGACCTCCGCTGGTTCCCAGTACAATCGAAGTGGACCATACTCTATCAGAAACTCCATCATTTCCACCACCTGCTCACGGCTGTAGCTGACCGCCTGGGAAACGAGACAAGAACAAAAATTATCACTAGGGAAGGAACTCCTCCATCAACAACTAAAGCATAAACAACATAAACATGTTTAAATGAGTTGTCCAGTCATGTCAATCTCACTTATCCTTTGTCCTCTGTGTACCTTATAGTAGGGTTGGGAGTGAATGGGGGCACCTCCCTCCGTGCGCTGCAGGGACTGCTTCACCTGTTCTACCTTGATTGCCAGATGGGCCTCAAAGTACCTGCGCAGGGCCATGCAGGTGTGCTTGGCCGTCTGCCTGCTGGAGAAAATCTCATCATCACTCAGCAGCGCTCCCTGGTCCTCAGGATTCAGGATCTCCAGTGTGCTAATCTGGAAACGGTTCAAATCACACATTACCACACAATCAGCATTATGCCATGTTGAGTAATAGCTGTTCAGTTCATCAGTTCTTGAAATGTATCCTATTTTCTGTGAATGATACAGATGTTTGCATGATTAACAGTGAGGATCCAGTGTGGTTTGTCCTACCAGATTGACGAGGCGTCGGAGCCCGTCCTGCCTGTCAAAGAGCTCGAGGACGGCACGGAAAGAAAAGGAGATGGAGAAAAACATGGTGGCGTGGCAACAGCCGGACGCATGCGAGCATTCCAGTAGCCACAGCGTGTAACCAACCACATCTGACAGGATGGAGTGGGGCAACATGCACACCTTGAGGAGAGGACAAACCAGTGAATACAAATGTGCACTCCGACTAGAGCTATGTAATACGGATGAATCTAGTTTCATTTTACATCAAATACCAATATTAATGTCACAATGATTTTGTGAACGAATATGTTATTTTAATAAATAAAGTTTGTATAGCCCTTTTAAGAATGAGAATTTATACATATTTTGCACTGCAATATGACACATTGGCAGTACTTTATATTTTCCTTTGGCACATACAGTACACATAAAAAAAACGTTTTGTTGGCAAAATGATGGCAATATTCCAGCTTATAGATGTGTGTCTGCTTTGTACCCTTTCCATGGCGTCCTGGTTATAGGCAAGGTAGTAGAGGCACAGAGACACTCCAGTAGCAGCCATAGATGGCCTGGGGATTTCCAGCAACTTCTGAACTCCTCCATGAGCCACAAACTCTGCAGCAAATTTCTTGTGCAGCAGCAGAGACGCCAAGTACTGCGAGAGGAGAGGAAAGAAGAGAAATACGTCTAAAAGTGCTTGACCTTTTGTTCCGGCAACATGTTGGGTCAACAACAGGAGGCAAGGGTTTACCTTCAGTGCCTCAAAGGTGAGCTGCACATCATTGGTCTGCTTTAGATCCATGTAATGCATGAGCAGCTCACGAGCTCCCATCTGCATGAATACCGCCAGCAGCTGCAGGTAGAGGGAGAAATTGAAAGAATTTCACGTAAATTATATATATTTGCTTTACAACTGAACCCTGTGAACGGCATTAAGTATTATATAAATATATATAATATTATAATATAATATACAATATAATATTATAAAACTTTAAAACCACTTTTTCATAGTACCAGAACAGAACAGCAAATTTTATTTAATCATAATTAAAGAAGACTGACATCTGCTGGAGAGTCTGTGTCAAGACAAGGGAAATGCATAACTTGCACAAAGTAAGAAATAAAGCAGTGTGTAGGGTGATGGTAATGGACAAACCTCCTGATACTCTCCCAGAGGTGTGAGATACTGCAGGATGAGTCTCTGCTCAATCTCTGGGGTCAGAGGGTACAGATGATAGTTGTTGCCAATCACCCAGGGGCTCATCTCAGACCAGCTGCTGTTGGAAAGCTCACTGAAGTTCCGCTCTGGCTCGGGCAAAGAGAAATTTAGCTTGTGTTTTGAGGTCCTGCCGCTCTCCCTCTCTGCCTTTCTTCTTAGGTAACTGCTGCCATCAGACACACTTTGGTGTGTCAGCGAACCCGGGGCAGACATGGGCTTCATCATGGTTTTTACAGCCGAGTTGGCACGGCTGCTGGTCTTATGAGGGGAGTTGAGACGGAACGAAAGCTCGTTTTCAGGCTCGATGGTTGAGAGGGGAATTTCGCCATCCTCTTCTGGCCCCGTCCCCTCCCTTTCACCTCTGTTTCTGCCCGGTATGAAGGGCTTCTCTTCAAAGGCTCCGTCAATAGTCTCCTCATCCAAAGGTAGCAAAGGCTCACTCAAAGTCTTCCTGGGGCTGGGCCGTTTGATATCCCTTTTGTTCTCAGCATCCTTATCCTGAAGCTCACGCAGCCGATGTAGCATCAAAGGCACCTGTTAAAGTAAAGCATGACAAACAAATTAATGGAAAGTTTCTACTCCACACCAGCTTCTAACAATGAGCAGATTGCTCTGATGATTTGTGGGATAAGACAGTTTTATCAGGTGTTACCTTGTCTAACACTATGGTGCTTTCACATTATTCATTAAAATATAACTGACATTAGAGACAGCAAATATTCCCTACTGACCAAAACAGAGTTCTCCTCCCTGTAGTTGGCTGCAATGTCCTGGTTCTCCATCGCGCCAGCCAACAAGCCTGTGGCATAGATTCTGAGGGGCTGCTCGGCCTCCTGGGCCCACTTAAACAGCCTTTCAACTATGCCCTCCTGAGAAGAACCAACACATGAAAATGGTGAAATACACACGGAAACAAGAACATGAAAAGATTCGTACTCAGAAAAATGTTACGACTACTGTTTTTTTTACCCAACTTGATCTTACATTTTTGGCAGATAAAAATCTATGATCGCTTCATTACAATTTCATAAGTGCTGGGTTTTTAGTTTAGATTCACTTTTTTCGAATTAAAAACGAGGTTGCAATTTATCTATGTCCTCATGTTATCCTGCCTTTACACACATATATAATGTTGCTGGTAGAAGGCGTGTCAACATGAATTACTTAATACACCTTTAACTGCTTTAACACAGCATGTTGGATATGTATCTGAAATCTACATTACAGGATAACATAACAGCTGAAATAAATGTGACACATTGTTTGAACAAGAGAACACAGGAAACACTAAGTGCTGTTATCTTATCATGCACCCAGAAATAACCCACCTTTTCCTGAAAGACCACAGCTGTCTCCAATCCAGGCATGATGTTCTGAAGCAGGCGACAAGCTGCTGCATTAAGGGAAAATTCTCTGCTGGTCATCACATAGCTATTCACCAGCTACAAAGGGAAGAAAAAAAGAAGTCACTTTCTGACTCAGATGCAACATATTGCCCTTGATTTTGCATAAAAATAGTCCATCCATTCTTACTGTGTTCATAAAGTCATCATTCTTGAACAGGATCTTGAGCAGGTGCCCTAACACACATTCTGGATCAGCTCTCCCTAGTGGCCAAGAGGGAAATGTCAAAAACATACACAATAAAATCTCTAGTAATCTAGCCATCATGTGTTTTTTTTTGTTTGTTTTTTTCATACCAGGATGTCGATCATCAAAAGGGTCAGGGTCCGCTTTGTGGTACTCCTCCGTCTCTTTCTCAACAAGCTCAGAGATTCTGAAAGTTACAGCGCATCAACACATTTACCAACCCTCACGTCACAATCGCCAAAACTTGTGGAAACTAACTCATCATAAAACTTTAAAAGACACAAGGAGCGTCAGTACTGACTTGGTGAGGATGTTAACCAGCTCCTGTGTGCTGCCTTGTTGCTCCCTCTCCCACTGTTCCAGTAGAGCAGTCAGCTCTGCCTTTGAGTCCACACTGGCAGATGCCGACGCCATAGCGCAGCCTGTCAGGATGGTATGCACTTAATATGTATTCATTTTAGTATTAATCCATTAATAACAATCCAGTGCACTCTTATCTCCTGCTCCAGATGGGGGTTTAACCAAGTATGCAGTTGTAAGATGTGACTTATAATCACAAAAAGTCAACAAAAACACCAGTGAACACAGGAAACCATGACTGCTGTTGCACACATATACAGTGTATATATTAAGCTACGGTCAGGACGGACAAAAGGCATAAGAAGCGGATTTTTTTTTTGCTCCATTGCTTCAGATAACTGTGCAGGTGCAGCTGCCCTCCAGGGACTGCAACTGTCAAACATGCAAGGACTATTACTTATCAAGTTAGCATACAGATTAACATATCTTAGCATAGGTTCTGATTTGACTGGGAACTATAACACACAGCTCCAACATTTTGCATGCTCTCCTACATTCACTCACAGCCGATACTTACTGTACCAAACTCTAGACACTGCCTGTTGCGATGTACGGCTAACGGTTAGCTGGACTGTGGCTAAACAAGGAAGCTGGTATACTGAGCTAACTTAGCTTGCTAGCGACCACTTCTGGGTCGCAGTGTTACAGTGTACAGCAAGACCGAGCAGTCCCGGCGTGTATGAGACATTGTGTTGGATTCAGCTCCTACTCCAACAAACGAAACCTGCCTGTACAGGTAACCTAGCACTGAGGTGTTAGCTCGCAGCATCACAGGTAAAAAACCTAGGCTACCTAGCTAGCATGCTAACTTTACCTCGTTGTTCCGCTCGGTTCTTCTCCGGTTTCACCAGATTTACCAAGACTCGTACCCACCGAGTCAAGTCCAGACTTGACCGCTCCTGGGTGAATATCCACGTATCGATCACCGTTTCACAGCCAAAGCTTGATTTGCTTTATTGTAGCTTTGTGTTCACGGTTTATTATCATTATGGCGAACACGTTCCGCACGTCATTTCGCGAGCGACAGTCCACTTTTAATGACGAAACGATTCAACAGCAAAACATTGCGAAATACAATTTATTCAGCGAGTACATGAAGTACATTACAATACAGTTACACTTAATGTTCTGCAAGGTCAAACACAGGTAACAAAAAAAAAAATTACAGGAACCTTAAAAACGATTAGTTTTGGGTTAGGATCAAATACATATTAGTAACATAAAAACGTATTACTAGTGCAAAAATAATGTTCAATATGAAAATAGGTGTGTTTTTTTTAGTGGTGATAAGAAAGAATTGACTGCTGCCATTTAAGAGCAAAGATTTGGATTCAGGGATATATAGTATAATTATGGTTTATATTCTGTCAGTAAGCAGCTCATTTCTGTGGTGCATGCATACAACTAGCACGTAACAAATAACTTTATAATCATTTGTGATCTTGTAGTAGTTAGTAAAAGGTAAATTGACTGTATGTGTGGAAGATTCAACACTATTTATTCAAGAGGCAACATCAGTTCTATCGAATCTGAGAGATTTCATTGGTTAAATGCCTCTTTTTAACTGCAGTAAACATCCAACTTTAATAAGGACGTGTCAGCAGAACTGACTTATGAGTAAAACTGATTTATTTAGATATCCAATGATCTGGAAAGTTAAGGCCTTCATTCACAACCATTGCAATTACATTACAGCACAGCAACAGGTAGCAGGATAGTTATCTGCATTAACTTTGAACTCATTCCCGTAAACAAAGTAAATGTGTGATTTCCCTTTCCATGAGTAGGTCACCTTGGTGACAGGGATCAGCTCTATGGTTTGACGCTGCAGACAAAGAAAGCAAATATGAACATGTCACATACAGTAATCACAAGCATTGTCAAGTCCATTAACAATGACAAAATGTTATTATTTTATTTATTAAAATAAATATAGCAGATGCACTCTTACCTGTTGTAGAATGCGTGATGTCTGGGAGTACTTGCCCTGGTGTTCATTGACAATGCGCTGTGAAGCATTCACCACTGTAGGGTCTGGGAAGCCCATCACTGGGTACACCTGCACAGGTAATCCATTATAAGTGCTGATTCACTGTCAGTGTTTATATGACAGTTCATTTATTGGTCGACAGATCGAGCAGGATAAAAAAGTTGCAATGTGCTTCTGTGTGTTCAACCCATGTTTTGGCAGTGTCCAAAACACAGTTAACGGTAAAAACATGCATAAAACTGAAGCAAATAGACTTTAAGCCTACAAAGAGGCTTCAAGCCACAATGTGTTACATTATGTGAGCTGTTGAAACCATTGAGTTGACAGCCTGTAAGCCTGTTTTTGTAGATATACAGGTAAAGGTATATAAGGAACAACTGTACCACCAAAAAGCATGCATGATTATCAGAGTATAATAAGTCAGGCAACATTTCTGCCACCAAAATCTGTGCAATCTGCATGTTTTAGGTATGAAGAAAGCATAATCTTCCCTGTAAAAAAATAAGAAATGTTTACCATGTACTGAGAGTCTCTGAAGAGCTCCTTGCCAGACACCTTGCTGAGGTTGTCCACCTGCAGTCCACTTGACTGTTCCACAACATAGTTATCAGAGTTGTTGGTCCTGAAAACATGTACATAAAAAAACAATAAATCCTGTTACAGTCAAATTAACAGTGTAAAGGAACCATTAAATGTTGATGAGCTTCAGATTGTTAAGAAAGACTATTTATTGCATGGGTTAAGTCAGACAGATGTTGAGGAAGTAGCACCATTTCACAGTGAGGTTGATGTAGACCAGAAGCTGTTGTTTTCCACGACACGTGTCACATTGCTTCGATCCTTGCCCTTGACAGTGGCTGCAACTGTAAACAGAATAATCATTAAAAACTATCAGTATCTTTTAGGAGAAGCAGAAACTGTACTGAACTTACTGAAATTTTTACTTAATTAGAAATCAGTGGGGAACACTTACTTTTCCCTCCCTCTGCCACTGCAGTGGTGGCATCGATCATCTCCGTGGCGGTAACCAGATCCATTGCAGACCCAACAAACTTTCTGACAGGAGCAAGAAAACAAATCATATCATCAGATGATCTCTCTGAAGGTCTTAAAGTAACTGTTTTAATGAAGTCTGTGGAAGTTACTTACATTACCGGCACCAGCACAGTCTTTGCAAGGTTTTCTCCCCATTCCCACACAAACATGGCAGCTCTGTATGTGAAATGTTTGTGGTCAGTAAAGATCTCTAAAAGAAATTACAGGAGATTTTTCTTCTCCAAACACGTGTTGTATAATTTACCTTCACAGATGATGTGTAGGGAACCTTGATAATCTGTTGGCCATCGAGAAAAAAACTGGGAGCTTGGGCAGGAATATCCCAAGGCCCTGGAGGTGACTGGGAATAGGCATCCACTGGTTGTCCTGATCCAAAAATAATATTAGATTATCAGTATCATTAAGTAGCTGACTGATGGAAGAAGACAGAGAATTCAACTCATGCAACTGATGCACAAGGTAATAGTACTGTACCATTGTATGGCTTGTGACTCCACTCTGTAGATCTTGATTCAGTGAAGGTTTCCAGGCGGTACTAAAACAAAGCATGGGTGGAGAAAACAAACAAGAGTAAAGCACCTCTTCAGTTTGGTTATATTAAATGATCTACAGCCATTCACTTTGTATATTCATCGACTGAACACACCACAAAACCATTATACAACCTGTGAGTTCTATTGATTGTAATGTCCTTCTAACAGACTTTTCAAACACACACACACACACACACACACACACACACAGACCTCCTCTTACCCTGTAGGTATTGAATGCCTCCATGCTGGTGATCACGCCATCCTTTGCTGGTGCTGAACTGTAGCAGCACTTGCTGGAGGCAAACAGGGCAAATGCCTCCCGGGCAGTATCTTCACTTATAGATGGGATACTGTGAGCAGTGAGGGAATGAGATACAGTATGTCATCTAGTCTTTTAAGAGGAAGTAGTGTCTCATAGTGCATTAAGTGCTTAGACTGCATTCATTTTGCATTAAGAATGGAAAATGTTTTGTAATAACCTTAGTCATGGTGAAAAAAAAGGAAAAGATCTGGGGCTTACTTCCAGTGTGGTTGCTCGGGTCCAGGTTCAGGCTGAGGAGCAGGGTAAGCAGGCATGGGAGGAGGAAGAAATCCGCCTACAGCAGATAGAGAAAGTTCCCTTTACACAGATTATAATTTATGTTTTGATTGACACTGTCAGAAAGGCATTAATGTAATTGTATGTTTATTACTGAAGCTGTAGTTTGCAGTAGTGTTACACTGGGCTGCATTATATTTAGAGATAATTCTAAATTACAAACATGAGTGGGGGTCAAATATTAGAAACACATTTCACAATAATGCAACGCCACCACTAACAACTACCTCAGTTATACAAATACAGTTGCATTCGAGCTTGGGAAGTAACGTCTGACATGTGAGCAACGTAATCAGGATACAAAGAAAAAGGAAACCATAATCCATTACGGTTACATTTAATTAAAAAAGTTGACTTTTATGCCATATATAAAAACCCTATATATCTCACAGTTGCTAATGCATTATCCTGGAAATCTTTCACTGGGTTGTAATATCACCATTAATTTGTCGTCATTGAAAAGAGGAACAACATCACAGTACAGCGAAGTTAAGCCTTCCAGCTGTGAAAATGGTCCACAGGATACTGCCTGAATTTGCTTAATGAAGAGCAAGTTTTTATTTATTTTAAAATACATCGGGCAGAGCACACCTTTCGATGCTAAACCCCCCATTTTCTTTTTTAAGGTTACATTTTTCTGTGTTTTATAGAACACGCTCAAGTAAAATCCATCTTACATCTCTTTATTTAAATCTTTGGTATTGAGGTAATCCAAAAAGAACAGAAAGTAATAAAGTTACATTATTTAATATTAATATATAATTTTTATAACAGGTAATTAGTAATTGTATAGGACTTGCATTAACACTAAAAACTAAACATATAGGCCTAAGCTGCGTAAAAGGTAGAATATGTAACAGAGCAGTTGTACTGGATTTAAAATGGATAAAGGGAGTGAACATGACAGTAATGTGAGATATATTTTCTTACAACAGAACTACTAAGGAGTACGTGCGGCATACTGTACCTCCTCCTCCAGCTACTGTTCCTTCATAGCCAGGCACGCTGTCAAAATACATACTGGCTGGAGGAGCGGTGGGGCCCTGCAAGCCAGCTGCGGGTGGGGCGAACATTGCTAAAACAAACCAGAATAACCAGTTCAGTCATGTGGAGAGATATAGACTTTTAGAACGTTAAATCTTGTAAAGTTTCCCTGCATTACACAAACCACAAAGCTCATTAAAAAAAACTGTCGGACACATCACTTAATCTTCTCAGTAAATCCAGCTGAATACTAAGTCTTCCCAGGTACGTCCAAAGTTGTTGTTTCTACATCAGAAGACAGTGTCGTGAGTGAGTGACTTACCTTGTCCCTCCGCGTTAATATCCATTCTGAGATGATTTACAGGCACTTTTAAGACTCTAAAACACAGGTAGTATCTTTAACAAGCACTACAACTGATGGCAGGGGGGTGGGGGGGAGGATACAAAAAAAAAGTAGTAGCGCACTCAACATCCACTGCCACCGCTGTGACTCCAACCTCACATAACCTGCACGTCGCAAATGACGTCACCCAGATGTGTAAGTGCACGGAAGCGTGCAATTCTGACGCTGACTGGTTGTTTTACGAGCTTTATGTCTTAACAAAATAGGTTTAAAGTTTAGTTAAAAACAAAACAAAAAAAAACATAGAATTGGCTCTTACCAGGCCCTCCTTCTGCTGCTGGCATATAACCGGGATTGGCCACTCCATACGTGCGATTTTGGCTGTTAAGTAACGGGAAACGAAAGTTAAGAAACTATACCCTCTTACTCACTTACTCACTCTTTGGGTTTGTGAAAGAGGCCCACACACACACACACACACACACAACATAAAGCGACGGTCACCTCAATAAAGGCCGAGACTCCATTTAAATCCAAAGCGCTGGGGGGGGAATAACCAAAACACAAGAAAAATACAAACCACCTAAGTTAAGTCTTCATATGTGCTCTAATCACGGGGAAATACCACTCATCATGTGACTAAAACAACTTAATGATTTACCTTTTATACTCCACCCCCGTGTGCATGTCGCTGTGTTACCGCCTCTTCCCCTTAAACGGAAATAAAACTATTTTGTGGTCTTTTCTTTTGGTTTAGCTTGAGAGTTGACGCTTCTTACGTGCTGCACTAATTTCCGAGCATATTGTCAACGGTACAAAAGTACAGGAGACCCTCCGCCTTTTCCCAGCACAGAACCCCCTCCGTCCAGGAAGTGCGCACCCCCTCTATTATGAGAAGTAAACAGATGTAAAATATGGGCCTACAGATGTGATACGGCCTCAAAACATACCGATACAACATTCAGTGAACGACAACAAACACTGGGAGATTCATAGTGTTTCATTAAATAGGTTTTGAGACAGACGTGTCCATTTCAGCACACCACAGGCGCCTTAAAAGTGCTTCTGGACGCGGATGTTTAAAAAAGAAGTTAAAGAAATACAGTACCCATAAGCCTTTGCGGCACTCGCGGAAGTCCTTTTCTCTCCTTCCGCCGTCGCTGAAGTCCCTTTTGGATTTACATCGGCGGGTGAGTCCGTACAATCTGTGTTAATCCGCGCAATTAACGGCAGTATTTGACCATCCCGACGCGGTTTATCGATCATAAACGTTCACTCTATACATGTTGTGTGAAATTAACCGTTTTATCGTCACCAACCGTCAATTGTGTGTCGTTGTGCTCTTGAAGCGGTTGCCCGGTTGCTAGCGCGCTCTAACGGGGTTGTAGTACTCTGCTAAGGCCCGCCGTACAGCGTGGTTTACAGACGAGTGCTGTGAAATAATAAATGACAGTGGCCAACATTATAAACATATATATATTTTGTATTTCTGTTAAGGTTTTGTTGTTGGAGCCGAGTGCCTGAAGTAGCGTGGCTAGCTAGCTGAACATTGCCTGTATCGTAGAGGCTAACACGTTTACCTGGAGGCTCAATACACTTTGAAGAGACTTGGTTATGTACTTTATTAATTGCTGTTAGCGGCAGACTCATTTTGTATGTGTGAGCTAGTGGGGTTTACAAATGTTGTTAGTTGTCTGAACCTCAACACTTTATACCTATTCTCCACACATTTGCTCGCCTTTAGACAGCGATGTATGCGAACTAGTTTCTAGGAGTGTGCAGCATGTTGTGCTACAGTGTTAATGCTGCAACACTGAAGCTGAGGTAACTATGCTTAATTGGTTGTAACCTGAATTTTTTTTCTGTCCTCAGTCACCATGGCAGCCCTCAGGCCCCTCACAAAGCCCAAGATTGTCAAAAAGAGAACCAAGAAGTTCATTCGCCATCAATCTGACAGATATGTGAAGATTGCGGTAAGAGCCTGCATATCACACTAGACATGCTCAGCGAGTCGGACCCGTGCTTTTACTTGTAATTTTTGGTCTTGCAAGCAATTAATCCTTAATGTTTTTCATATCTGAACAGAAAAACTGGCGTAAGCCCAGAGGTATTGACAACAGGGTCCGCAGGCGGTTCAAGGGTCAGATGCTGATGCCCAACATCGGTTATGGTAGCAACAAGAAGACCAAGTACATGCTGCCCACTGGCTTCAAGAAGTTCCTGGTGCACAATGTCAAGGAGCTCGAGGTCCTGATGATGAGTAACAAGTAAGTTGTGTGCATATACTGTAAAAGGGTGTAATTATTTTTCCTTCATACCAATAGGTATGTAGGTATTAAGCTTGCAAAAGGGTTGTTGTATTAGTAAATATGAGATACCTGCTCAGACTTCCATTGCCACTTCAGTATAGATAATAGAAGGGAATATAATTAAGTACAAAAGCAAAGTGTTTGACTAAAGCTTTCACATTTCACGCTACACAAGCTTTTAATGGATTGATTGAACAACTGTCTTGACTAAATGTGACTTTGCGTTAAGAGATATTATTGTTGTTGTAAATGTAATTTCCCTTGAGTACCACAAAATAAATTCCAGATAAGACCACCTACGTCTATACACCTCAAGGGGCAAAGTGGGTGAAGTGACCCCTGAATGGCATTTTGTTAAGGTGTAAGATATAAGGATTTTATTAAACAGACTAAATACAGTAGGCTACAGTACGCATGTTCCAACAACATATCAAAAAGCCATCTTAGTCAGACACTACTCTGACAGTGTCTTTGTTATAGTCTGGTACTTGACATCTGATTTGAATATTGAGAGTTACAGGTGCTTGTTGAGCTTTATGTTACAAATATTTGGCTTTTATAAAAGCAGGAACCTGGTATGAGGAAGTCAAAGATAGTTTATCACTTATCACTTTCTAATTGCTGCCTTCACAACAACCTGCTACTGACAATAACCTAGTTTAACTAGAAAGTATTAGCTGTGTTAAAAGAGGAGTTTGTAAGACAATCATTTGGGTAAAAAGGCTTATGGCTGTCTTTTTCATACGGTTTCACTGAAGTTGTTAAAAGATTAATATAATAATCAAAATCACAGTGACACAGATGCAATCTATTACACAAATCACTTATAGGAATTTAATTTCCAGGACTCTGCCTTTTGATCACCCTTCTTGCCTCCCTTGCATTGTAAACTGTAGAAAACCATGGAGGATAATTGTAATGAAGTCATTCATGGGTTTCTGGAGGGAATGGCTTAGCATTAGGATGTGTTTTCATCTTGTCAGTTTACCTTAAGCCTGAAATGAAAAGTATGAATAACACAGTGGAGCTCAGCTGGTGCGTGCAGGTGTCAGTTACTATGCCTGTCAAGCAAGCACCACTCAAAGAATAACCTTTAATGGTGCAGTCACATTATCCTGTTTTGATTTCAATGAAGAAGGGCTGAGATTATTTTGCTTCGTCCTGGATTGATCCCTGATGTTGCTGGGTCAATTTCACAAAGAGTTTAATCTCTCCGAATTTAGACCTACAAAATAACAACCTGCCAAGTCCAGCAAATTTCAGAGAGGGGATTGAATTGATCTGCTGTCCAGAGATTGCAACTGTATGCTGCAATGGCAGGGATAGATGATTTGATTCCAAAGGTGTGGGTGGGAAATTTGCACCAGACAAATGCTGGTAAAATATGAAAGTGGCTTTTATACACAGAATGATTTCTGGGTAATGATTCATCTGTCAGTAGTTGGCACATGTTCACATTTAAATTTAATTCCCCACACATAACATGAAACCTGTGCAATGTGAGCCATCTATCACGCTTAAATATCCCGCCTGTTAATTGCCTCAGGAGTGAGTAGACTAACACTTGTCAACAATGTCTAAAATACGAAGGAAACAATCTGATTCAAGGGAGTTGTTTGGTTATCCCAACCTTTTTTTTGAAGGGCTCATCTAGTAGTAGTTTGAGCGGTCAGTCACTATTATTGAGCACATAAATCTATGGGAATGCCACTTTGGTCAAGGAGTATATATTTTGCTGTTTAGCAGCAATATAGCAAGCAAAATGTTGTAACAGCAAGTTAAGGAAAAAACAGTTTAACAGAAATTTAGGTTACTCAGCTGTTTTGTGAACTTTAATCACTAAACTATCTGACTCCAGTTGCTTCCAGATATGATGGTATTGATTTTAGTACAAGTTTCACCTTTTCTTCAAAATGGACTCTGTTTATCAGAAGTTCAGAGAGCATGTTAAGACATTTCCCACCTTTTTTACTGTTTGGATGAGTGGGAAAGTTTAACAGACTGTTAAATTTAAGTATTTTACTTGTAGTTGGCATTGTTGGCTTTGGGTTATCTGTTCTATCTGTAGTTTAGTGGCTACTTTGCATTTAATGTAGGATGGGTGCTATAGAATTGGCTTTTTATAGTGTGGTGTTTTTTAGTTGTCATGACCTCCCTTTACTACCACGTTGGAAAATATCAGCGTGACTTTTAGCGCATATAGAAGAATTGTAATTGCAGCATGATTAAGGTACAGTGTATTTAAATGTATAAATGTCCATCAGAAACATTCTTCAGTTAATGCCAAGACCATAAGCAACAGAAATTATAAATGATAAATCGGGCTACAAAGCTGCTGTAACACTAATAGTTGTAACACAGAACATCATGTCATTGACCCTAACACCTCTCCCTCTGTAGGACTCACTGTGCTGAGATCGCCCACAACGTGTCCTCCAAGAACAGGAAGCTGATTGTGGAGAGGGCAGCTCAGCTGGCCATCAAGATCACCAACCCCAACGCCAGGCTCAGGAGCGAGGAGAACGAATAAACTGGTTATTCACAATAAATGTTTAAAAATAGAAACTGGCTTTTGGATCATTTTTTTTGCACCTCCATTGCTCTTCAGCAGTACTGTCACACAAGTCTGGAAAAGTTTCAACTTGATAATAAACGGACTGGCTTATCTCTAGTTTTAAATTGAGTGGCTCATTTGTTAGCTAGGAAATTTGGATGCAACAAACTTGAAATTGTACTAATTCAAATTTGTGTCAAACCCAATAACAGCAAATATTTCAAATGCATTAATTTTATTTATCCTTCTACTTAATCAACATTGCCTGTATGTCTGAAGTTAATGTTGAGGAATAGCAAAGGCACTCAATAAGGTTTTATTTTCATAAGCATGAAAAACATTGCATTTGTCCCTAAATTAAACCAGCATCACTGGTGGAGGGAAATCTAATTTCCAAAAGGAAATGTAACAGGTGGTGACGTGACCAGGGAGTTATAAATGGGTAGTTCATTCCGGGTATGATACTTCAGAGACTACAGCTATTTTCACATGGTGCACAGGCGTCAAAATAGTACAGAAATGCTCTTGCACATGAGTTGGCGTCTACACTGATGGCTACGGAGCCGGTTGTATTCTCCCGTGGGTAAATGGGGTTATTCCTCAGCTCCTTCCAGATGACTGGACGCTGGAACAGAACAAAAGGGGCAAGATGCCTGAAGAAGAGTGTTGACCCATATTGTGAATGGAAGGAGGCACCTAACTTTGTACACTTGCTGTTTTCTGTCCAAGGATGTGATCTGGGGTAGCTTTTTTTGAAAGAGAACATGCTTTTACAGTTTGTAAGGCTTCTTGCTGTCAAAGAACATTCTGGACTCCCATCTTTTTTCTTTTTTTCTTTTTTTACTTTTAGCCAAATTATTCCAGGTCGTCAGATCTTGAGCTTTGAGTTATTCTGAGATGAGTCAGCATGAGTGCATGAAAGCTGAGTTTGGACATTTTGAAAAGACAGAATGGACTGTGTCAGTGTAGTCTATAGTTTAAGATTGAAAGGAATTTAAGGGTCACTCCAACAATATTGATACTACATTTCCTATAATGCAGCTTCTTAATGTCTCTGAATAGGCCCTCCCTGACTGGTAAATTTCCATTTGTTCCCAATTTTGACACATTCAACTAATCAAAAGTACCTCTGTGCAAGTTAGGGGTATTTTCAGTGGAAAGTACTTGTAAGTACTCCTTTATACTTTATTCTACAGTTAATTTCAGAGGCATATGTTGTACTATATACTCCACTACATTTGTCTGGCAGCTACCATTCAAATTTGCAGATTTAGATTTTACATACAAAACATGATCAACTTCTTAAATATAATGCATCAGTATGGATTGAATTAACAAACAGCACATAAAGTAGTTAAAATGAGCTCCACTTTGACTGGATTTAAGTTGTTATTTGATTTGAGTACTTCTTCCACCACTGATCACAAGGCAGTTCGTCACACTCTTAAAGATTTGTCTCCAATCTAATCGAAGATAACTCTGATGAAATCACTATGACATTATACAGCTGTTTTCACAGGCTGAGCAGCAGATGTGGCAAAAGTACACCCATTTACTCAAGTAGAAGTACAGAACCTTGTGTAAAAAAAAAAATGTAGTAGAAGTACTGGTTAAACTTATTTACTCAAGTAAAAGTGAAAAAGTACAGGCTCCTTAAGAGGTTTCTCTTTAGGACATTTGTACCGGCTGTTTCTTTCAAAGCTAACTGAAAAAGTCTTGGTGCTAGGGGGTACCTGTCAAATACATTTAGGCTAAAGTAACAAGCCTGTCTTAAAATGTAAGTAGCAGAAAGTACAGATATTACTAAAAATGTAGAGGGTCAAAGTAACAGACAGAAAAATAGATACTTCAGTATCGTACAGATACCTGAAAAATAACTTAAACAAAGTACAAAGTTCCTCTTCTGAGCAGCGCCAACCATGAGCAGCCAACTGATCTTAACGTGTAAAACTGGTTGAGAGCTCTTTTAAATAGCACACTGTATAAGGTAAGGCTTTAAGACCACGAAGAAGGCCGCACTGTCTTCTCCCAGGTTTTTGGCAAGGAGTCAGTCTGTTATTACGTGTCAGCATGGTTAGACAAATCCACAGCTGATACTCTGATGTAATATCAATAGATTAAATAAAATGTTATCCAAATGTTATTGCCTTGAAATGGCAGCTCAGACTGTATATTGTTTTGTGATGTTCAGAGCCGGCTCCCTGCAGAGAAAGTTTCCATTGCATTCTGGCAGCCAAGCTGTGCCCCACAGCCCTGAGCCCTCTGCCATCTGTTCCTGCAAAACTGACATTGCCAGAGATGCAAAAAACATAACATTTATTTAGCCAGTCAGCTTGTGGCTGTTTGGAACTGAAGGACGTGAATTACCAGGGATGGTTGGAGAGGAAAAAACGTCACAGGGTTAGATCCGAATCTCTCCTCTTTTTTAAAAAAAAACAACAACCTGGACCTGTTTGTGGAGTGGCTTGGAAAGACTCACCTGAGAGGACTGGAAGTCCTCCAGAGAGGGAGGAGAACATGAAAACAGCAGGACAGGCAGCTACAGCAATGTCTGCGAGATGTGTGTGAGTGTGTCAGGGAGAGGACAGAATCCGTTTATTCCTTGTCACTGGTCAGAAAATGAACATGTCAGCAAGGTTAGTGTTTGGGAAGGGGCACCTCACTCCCAAGCAGCTCTCCTTCGCTTTCCCTCAAACAGATTCTCTGAGGAAAGGTGGTCGGTCTGCAGGAGGAAAGAGGAGGATGTTCTCTTTTTCTCTCAGATGTCGACTGGGCATCATCAGAGGGAGAACCAAAGGTAAAGCCGACAAGTCATTCTTTGAAATGGAAATGTATTCAGTTGATGTTTTTAATATTGTAGAGCACATCTGAGACTTTGGAGAAGTTATTTGACAATTTATGCACTGTTAGAAAGGAAGAATTTAGTTGCAGACACAAAAATTACTTCACTTTAATACGTTTTATTTGTAATTAATTCCCCTAATAATCATCAAATTACATACATTACCTGAATTAATTAAAAAAGTTAAATTGTGTGCTGCAGGCCTTTTAATATGAGCATTTTTTGACTGAAACCTTAAAACCGAACATTACATCATGAGTGTGTGTGTGACACATCCTTATCCTTTTGGCTCTTTTGTTTTTTGTTGTCACACACTGATCCGTGCTGGCTGACAAATGAATTAGTAATTCTGCTTTTCACTTGCAACTAGATCAGATCACCATAAGATGGCAGTGTGGTCAGATTGATTGAGGAGCAGGACACGATTCAGGCCCTCCTTTTTAGAATACTCACTTTGTCTATGTATAATGAAAATGTGGGCTATTTTCAGAAGGGCTATTTTTACGATCATATCGATGAAAGGTTGTAAAAATGTACAAACCGGCACTAAATAGTGAATACAGTCATAAGTCATTCTCTTCTTGAGAGTCTTAAAGCACCTTTTCAGTCTTCTTCCTTAGTTTGTTTCTTTTCTGGTTTAGCATCCTTAACCTCTGCTTCTATGCCAAGGTCACTGCAAAAATCGTATTAATACATTATCTACATCAATCATGTTGATTTCTGGTCTAACGGAAGAGCAAAATAAGTCAATTTTTATTATAACCCAACGTTTGCCGGCCTGTTCCCAGAGGCTTTTATCAGTCCAACACACTGCTCCGTCTTCCTTTTTTCTTTATTCTGTTGGAAATTAATTAGTCTCGCTCTGAAAGACTACACTCGCTCACATTGTAAATGGGGTATTAAGGACAAAAGTCTCAGAGGAAATTATCTACACCGAAGAGTATTGTGTCCACTGGAACAGCTGACTAATTAGGCTCCACGCAACAGCGGGTAGAAACACGGAAAAATGTTTGTAATCACTTCACACATCTGTAAAATAAGCAGTTGTAGAACAGAGGGGTTAATTTCACATTGTGTGTTTTGGAGTGCTGTGTGGGGCTTGCTGGTGCTGTGCATTGGGATTTTTTTTTATTTCCCATTTGCTGTCTCCAAAGTCTCAGTGATGACAACAATTTGTGCAGTGACCAAAACAAATGAGGCAGAAGAGGCTCAGGGGGGGGGCTGCCAGTGAGGCTGGAGGAGGGTGTTTGTTGTTGTTGGCGTTGGTGGCTGCAGTGGGGATCAGGAAGTGGCAGGCGTCGGGGCTTATGTGCATGACAAATGGTCAGACAGGTGTGGCATCGGGGTCAGACAGCAGACCCGTTAGCCCTTCTGCATTTGGGTGGAGGGACCTTCAGCAGGCCCGGGGATTAGCAGAGGGTCATTTCACCCTCCCGAGGGGGAAACATGAGATGCCGGGTTTTGGTAGAAGTGTGTTTAATTTCCACACAGTCACTCAGATTCCCTAATATTATTTTTTTGCTTCTTTTTGGACACTATTTATTTTCACATGACGACAGTGTGATGAGAAGTGGAATCTGTTATCACAGCCTTGTGCACGACAACTGCACTTTTATGAATAACAGTGTGACATGTTCTCAAGCAGGCAGCTGTTCTGCGCAGGAATTTTGCATATTCATTTTCGATTATGAGCTTGTGTGTTTGTGTGTGTCTGTGTGCGTGAGGGAGAGATACTAGCAGATACAAGCTCTTTGAAATGGGTGCAGTCTCTATGTGAGAAAAACGTGACACTGTGCAGGGCTCAGTCTGACAATGAATGTGCAGGTGGTGTTAATTGTGTCGACAGTTGAGTGTGTGCAGTTTTGTCGTGTCTTAATCTCAGTGTGTGTGTGTATTTGTGTGTGGGTGGGATTGAGGATGTGCATACGAGGGGTTTTTGACTTGGTGGGAAATGGATAAAGAGTGAGCATGTGCATGTGTGTGTGTGTGTGTGTGCTGGGGGAGGGAGTGACTATCGTGTGTGCCTGCCTCACTGAACCCCTCTGGCAGAGGGAGAGAGAGGGAGCAAACACACTCACTCTAGCTCTGTATGAGAGAGAGACGGGTTGTGTGTGAGCTCATGTGAGTGTATGAACAGAGGATGATGAACCCTCTGGAAAAGGACGAATGATTTGTAAGAATAGCTCAAAAATGGAACCACGGCAAGATGGCAAGAAAAGGACATGAACCGTTGCTCTCCCTGCCTTGGATTTTTATAGAAAAAGAAAGCTTGGTAGATTTATAGTTTTGAAGAATGAGGGAAATAATTTAACATTGACATCTTTTTGTCAACAAGTTTGAACAGAGGAGAGAACTAGAGACCTTCTGAGGATCAGAATTTGCCCTCTGGAGCTCAATTCCTCGCTGGGTTTTACAAGCAGGGACAAGGGTTAAGGCAATGCTGGACTTGGGGCAAAGGAATGAAGAAACGAAGATGGTGTTTGTGTTTTATCTGAGCGGCTGAGACTCGGCCTCTCTACTTTTTTTATTTTTACCTCAGCTGGAACCTCAGCTCTCTGCCCACTACTACAGATCAGCAAGGTTACTTCCCAAGGGTGGCTGCGCTGACTAAACTCCAGCCATGCTGTGTGGTCTGAGGAGAGACACTAAGAACAGCATTGGTAAGAGCACCGCACTTTGATCTCTGCAGAGTGAAGAGGGTCAGTTTGTGTGCTGTAAATGAGGATTTGTGGCAGGAAGAGGGGGTTCAGTGATGGCCCGGATTGTTTACTAACCTGTAAAGAGCTGCTTATGTCTTAAATGTGTGTTTAATCTGAGGGCCAGCATCTGTAACTGAAAAGTATTACCCCAATGGTCCTTTTTGTAATCTGTAATCCATAAAGCCTGAATGCAAACAAATTTAAATGTAGAATCCTTACAGAGCGTGTATTATGGCTGTGATGGGTTGAAAGAGATTTAAATGTGAGTGGACTCGACCACCCGCTCTGCATACCATCCTGCCATGTGTAATTGGGGCAGATATAGCGACGTAAACTGGGTCTGGCAGGGCCCAGTTTATAAATAAAGTTTTTCATCTGAAAATAGAATTATGATTTCATTGTCATTGTCAGTGACGCCCCCGTATTTAACCTACATCCTGATTGGTTATGAGAGGGATGGCAAACAGTGCCCTGGATTTAACCAGGAGTTAATTAACTCACCACATATTTATGCAGAAGCGTAGAATTTTATTTCAGTCAGTGCGACGCTCTGAGGTCCTTTACATGCAGCTCTTGTGGCAAAACCTCCTCCCTGAGCTAATAACTAACCTCCTGTCAAGGTTTTTTATTTATTTTTTTATCAATAGTTGTTTTATTGTTGGGGCTGTTTATTAATCAGCTCCGTCCTGATCTTAATTCTAGCCCTAAGATTAAATGATACATGTTATTTTAAGCTGGAGGAGGATTGTAGGGGGATGGCTTGGTGGTACAGTAGCGTTCAGTCACGTGTAGAGCATTGGGTCTGTGTTACCCAGAGCTAATGGTGCCTTTTGACTGCAATGACAGCTGCCGGACTGTCAGGGGCCCTCAGGAGTCCGCGTGGTTGGTTATGGGGCTTTTGCCCAGCATAATGTGTTTGTGATGTGTCACTCACTTTGTGTATGTGTGTTTGTGCCTCACAGCTACTGGATAGGATACGTGTGCAAGGATGTGTGTAAATTAGTGTGAAATACCATATTATGCATATGTATGTTCTGTACATTGCCATCATATGCAAAGTCCAGTTAAGATATTTCCGCAGTTAAGGTCTGACTCATGCAGCTGTGCGCACAAGAAGGCTGAATGTTCTTCTTTACTGCAGGGCATGCCCAAAGGTTTTGGGTCAGAGAGGATTTGACAAATGATCCATGCTTCTGTCTAAAGGCCTCATCTTCAGTTGGGCAGATGTGGACACTTGATGTGGACGGAGGGAAGGCAGTGAGTTTGATGCCCTCCGAGCACCTCTCCTGCTTCCTCCAGTTCAGTCTTTACAAATCAACACAGATAGAAATTGATATACTGTCAGGCCTGCAGAAAAAAATGGAGAGAACTGACAACCCTCAAATTTTTAAATATTATATTATACATATGTATAGTGCAACATGAGTGAAGTTTAGACAAATATATTTTGTCACTCCTATTATAATTATAGCCTGAGTCTTGGGGGAGGTAAACAGGAAGAGTGATGTGACAATGGATGCAGCGAGTCCTGGTGTGGACTACAACTTGATTCCCATTCTTTTAGCCTATATTTGTATTCACATTTTGGCAAATTGGTATCATAAAAAGTTTGAAAAAAAAATCTGATCTGAGCAATTAATCAGAATTAAGCGCTAATGATTGCTGTGTGAACACAGCTTTACAATCCTTTGTGAGTGGCTTTATGGACCTTTAACCTATTGTTTTATGACATCCTCAGAAAGCATAAGTTACACCGAATCTAAAATTATGTGTATTATGTCTGTGTTTTCTGATTTGACTGAGTTATGACTCCAAGAAGGAGTTCTATTTTTGATGAAAATTGCAGTAATCAGGCGCTTAAGTTTCAAAAGTACCGTAATTGCCTCCTCTTGTTTCTAAATTACACAGTGTGTGGGGGAAAAAAAGTTTTTAACCAGTCTCTGTATCAAAGCAGTCACTGGAGACTTTAACTTGTGATGACTTAAGTTTTGATGCAGGTAGCGTACATCACTAGCATGGCCCCTCTGCTCTTAAAAAAGAGGACTTGCACAGCTTCTCTTTAAGTTTGTAATATGATGTTCAATCACTGTGCCGGACAGCTGAAAAGGTAATCCGCAGTGGACAGGATTAAAGAAGTGCCTAGTCAAGTTTCTTCATCACTGTGACTGCTGACATGCTTGTGTGACTGCATTATTCAGGTTCAGATGGCCGAGCAGTGGCTCTGCTAATCTGAGGCCAGCCCTGTGCTGTGTCAGAAATGGGTCCGACTGTGGGTGGGGAAAAAAAACCCCAAAAATTAGTATCCTTGCAGAGCAGATTGAACATTTCCCGGCTTTCTGTAGCAGCTGCTGTAAATGACATGAAAATGATGATTTTCTCTCCATGCCCCAACAGTCCATTAACCGCATGCTGTTCCTTCAGGAAAATTCCCATGCTTTAGTGGTCGCATACATCAAGCTCGCCGCAAATGCATTCTTGTGTTAAATTAATGGTTTTCAAGGGTCTCTGCTGCAGACAGAGAGTAGCTATTTTAAACCTGTGACCCTTTTTATAGGATTGTCGTGGAAACAAAGTGGACTGACCTTCCAGGGTCCTGAGTTCACTCTGTTTCAGTTGGCTAATGCCTGACGGATGGATGTGGCTGTTGGCTAAGTGCTGTTTCCCTCCCAGAGCCCTCTAGTTACCCAGGGTGCAGTTCAAAGCATCAAAGTGTGTGTAGCTGTCATGATGTAGAATGAATGGTCGTGTTCATTTAGCCTTCTGCTGCAGAGTTCCCCTCCATGTCACCACAGTGCTTCATAACAACACCTCCATGCCTCCCTGCTGTCTCTTCAGATGAAGGACCGTACTCAAAGGGGAACAAGGAGTCCGGTGCAACTGACCAATCACATTCGTCCCACAGGCGGAGCTTCTCAGGTACAATACAGTCAAACCTGACTTCATATCATTTTGTTTCCTATCTCATATCTGATTCATGCTGCTCCCAATTCACCTACATCCGCAGAAAGAAGAAGAGTCATGCCGTGTTGGAGGTTTTTGTGTGCATGTGGAGGCCTGTGTCTGCTGTGTTTTACTTGATGTTGCACTGTTTTGAATGCTTAGATAAGGGTAAAAAAAATGCTTGTGTGGCATACCTGTCATTTGTACTAAACCACACTAGACCTCACATAGAACAATTTAACAGCGCAGCACAATGTGGACCTCAAGACAGAATGAGTCCTTTGATGACACTATATAGCCACATATCAATCAGAGTTATGGTCAAACTCATTTTCATTCACTTAAGAATACAATTGGATTTCCATTTATGACCTGATGAGTCTGCGGTAAACTGTCTTTTTGCAATAACGCACCGAATTTCTTTCCATCATCAGTATTTAGCGTGGCAATAAAACAGGCTCTATCCTTCTCCTCCTCCTCTTCCTCCTCCTCCTGAACCCGTCACAAAGATTCACTCAGATTGAGAGAAGTGAAGGAACAAGGAAAAGACAGGACAGTGAGAAAATAAAGTATGTGGTCGTGTGTCAGAGAGCATCTCAATGAGAGATTCAGGAGAGAGATGAAGAAAGGAGTCGTTCGTTGCCTATCAGACAGGGTGATTCTGTCAAGCAGACGCTAATGCTGACTGTGGATCTGTTCCTGTGTCTGTATCTGTCAGCAGAGGAGTACCGTGGAGTGACCACGGTGGACCTGATGAAAAGGGAAGGCAGCAGCCTTGGCCTCACCATCTCCGGAGGGTCTGATAAGGACGGCAAGCCCAGAGTGTCAAACCTACGGCCAGGTGGGCTAGCTGCCAGGTGAGATTTCTGCTCTGTGATGCGGTTAAAACCTGGCAACCACACCAAGCTGTCCAGACTTGTTATTCTGCTCCCACAAACGTACACGTGTTGCAAAGATACTAACTGCAGGGCTGTAGGCGTTGTGTTAGATCAGCTTGATGCTGTCTCACAGAGTAATACCCTAACACTGCTTATTTGTAAGGAAAGTCCCCAAGAAGCCACAAAAGATATGTCCTTAAATTGAGATTTTTCATTTTGTATTGTCATTTCATGCTCAATTCACTGTATGGTGCCAATGATTCAATACAAACCTTTTGTGAGCTTAGATTGCTTCATTAAGATTAAATGAAACTAATTTTCCCTCGACAATGTTACGCTCATTTTCCCCAACATCAGCCACATGATAAGAAAATGTAGCAGCTGGACTCACGTTTAATGATGATTAAGCAGCGTGTGACTGAAGTGTAACACACGCATGCACACACAGTTTTGTAAGAATGACACAGCCCCTCTGAAAATGTCTAGGCCAAATATGCCATCGCTTGTCAAGTCCAAGGAGGTTTAAAGACAGACACTGTGCTAATTCATCCAAGCAGCTTGTCTTCCCACAGCTGAGTTCATTCTTGTGTGGAAGTGCTAGCTAATTTACTGGGTTGAGAGACACTCAGGCAGACAGGAGAGAGACCGGCAGTGACATTGTGTGATGAGACCGGACCGGATGACAGGCCGCGCGGCTCTGCTGGTTAAGACGTCTCTCTCTGTCTGCTGTCAGTGGTGACTGGCAGTAGCCCAAAGGTGAGACAGGGCAAGCAGGCCAGAGCATCTATTTAATTAATTTTCTCTTCAATGAGCAGCATGTTGACTCATAATGTCATATGTGAGACACCATGTACAATCATCTCTGTCAGTGTCGGAAGAGGAGACGCTTTCAGCCATCCCACCCCAGCATCCGCTCACTGCTCTACATAGCTGGCTCTGTATGTTAGTCTACATACTGCAAGGAGATTCATAATCAAATCATCATCGCTGTCTGGACACAAGTTAATACAACCAACCACGATAACTTGTGTAAATATTTAAAACATTAGACAGCGCTTGTTTTATTTCTCACACAGTGGGATCACACAGCAAAAGATCTGCCAGAATATGTTTATCAGATTAGACATTTGCATCTCATTTCGATCAAAACTGGATCAAATTGTTTTGGGGCCAAAATGTGCAGTTGGTCCCCTTTTGTTGCAACTAACTGAAACACAGTCTTCCTCAAATGTGAGTGTACTGCAGGGGGTACGTGAGATTAAATACCAAAAAAAAGTTAATTAAAAAAACATTAGTCATGCATAATTCCTAAGATAATTAATACATTAAATAAAAATCTGTAAATGTAAGTGCAATAAACCACGTTTTATATTCTTATTTTCCTTCTTTAACTGCTGTCAAAGCTCACAGAGGGTTAAATAAGAGGAAGAAGAAGAAGAAGAAGAAAGCAACAAAAGCAATCCTGTTCATGGTGATGGTAGTTCACTGTGAGCCGCAATCGGATCAAAAGCAAGGAAACAGACTGTGCCCAGAAAAGAGTTTGATCACTGCAGTGGCCTGCCACCAAGAATGACAAAGAAGCACAGTGAAGCACAAGCCCGTATTTCTTACAAAGTTCTGAATGCAACTTATCATTAAAAAGACGCAGTGCAATTCAACACCAATGCCATCTAGTGTTATTGCTACCATGAATTTAGTGATGGATTCTAAATATTTTGAAGTTATGCATTTGAGTGTTTTTCAGTTACATGGTTTCTGTTTAATAAATCAAACACTGATGGTGCAGAGCTGTATTGTACCTCTTTATATAAGCTTTTTTCTTTTCTATCAAAAATGTTTTCCACTGCTCAGCAAGCCCAAGGGGTACACAGCTGAGAAAATATTTCAAAAGGGGTACGTGTTGAAATAAGTTTGATAACCACTGCTGTAACAAACAGGTAGTACACTGAGTTTAGAGAGATGAGAGTGAAAGTTTTGAGCCGTAAAACCCAAAACAGTGAGCTGAAAGTGGGTAAAAAGCTCTGTAAGGCTAAGGAAGACTGCAGAGTTGTTGATAAATCTCTGTGTGTCCATCACTACAAGCCACATCACATTACAGATGTTTGCAGCTTAAAAATAAGCCCCTCACCACAATGATCTTATCTTGGGTGATAATGCAGAATTGAGTTGATATCTGATATTGTGGTGCAAAGCATGAAACTGTCCCTGGTGGTGTGCGGCCTCAAGGCAGTATGCTCAGTTTGTAATCCAGCCTTGATCTTTAATGGTCTGCCCTTAACTTTCCACAGGAGTGACCAGCTGAATGTTGGAGACTACATCAAGTCAGTGAACGGCATCAACCTGTCAAAGCTCCGCCATGATGAGATTATCAGCCTGCTGAAGAACATCGGGGAGCGAGTGGTGCTCGAGGTGGAGTACGAGCTGCCTCCGTTCGGTAGGTGAAGTTCTGTAAGATAAATATTCTGCCCTGTAGTCCAACAGATGCTCAGACATTTAGAGAAGGGCTGTCATTAAAACAAAGGCTTTGTATTTTCAAATGCACACAGGTGAGAAATTACTGGGCTAATAAATAAGCTTATTAGTTAAGGCTGCAGATCATAAAATGGGTTATGACCTCCAGACAGTGACATTTAACATCCATAGGACTCAACACATGCTGCTAGAACAAGAGTGGCATACCATATCAGCCACTTTTTGATCTCTGTGCTGGTGGATATCCCTTTGGAGAAAGTTAAAGATACTAGACTCTTGGGTATCACTTTGAACCACCATCTCTCTTGATCTCAGCACATTGATTATTTAAAAAAAAAAAGTTGGGATTGGGAAGTTATTTGAAAGATAAAGTTCTTTAGAGAACTTATTCATAGTTTTAAACCAATCTACATCAAACACGATTTAAATAATTTATCTTTCTAATGTTTATTAGTTCATCCAGAATCTAGGCTCCAGACAATAAAACAAAACAGAAAAACTGGCGTCAGACAGGAAAACCCAAATGATGCAGGTCGTGTTGAGGAAGGCTCAATGTGAAATTTAAGCATCTCATGTCTCTTCTATCTACACTGTGGCCTTTTATGTCCTCTTCAGGTGCTTTAATTTCCTACCACACCAAAACACATGCATTTTAATTGTAAAATATAATCTCCCAGTAAGCACTGATCTGAATAGTTTAAAACTGAGCTTAATTTGGTTTAAAAGTTACTGTTTTTTAGTAGCATTTGCATATTTGAGTGAATTATAGTCATTAAAAGTGTGTTGAAACAACAGTTATATCCCTGATGGCTAAAATTGTCATCAAAATTTAGCCCAGATTTAACCTCGACATCTAGACATCTTTCGACCTGCAAATCAATACTTATTGGGTTTCCTTTATCAAGGCACCGGCCTTAGAAACAGAGTAGGTCCCCAGGCGCTGCACTGCAGCTGCTGACTGCTCTTAAATCATTAGTATGGGTCAAATAGAGAGAATTCATTTCCCCACTGAGATTAATTAAACACATTTCCTCAATGCTTTGTTCATTGTCATGATTCAGCACTTAGAACACTCAGATGGCACTATGATCAAACTTTTGAGAAAGCTCTATACATTCATTTTATGTGTAGCTTTAGAGGAGTCTGGTAATAATTCTGTCCTTTCCTCTCTGCTCTTAGTCCAGAACCCCTCAGGAGTCATAACCAAAACCATTGAAGTGTGTTTACACAAGGAGGGAAACAGCTTTGGGTTTGTCATGAGAGGTAGGTGGATGCGATATTTTTGTGTAAATCCTTCAGTAAAAATAATTAGCTTTAGCTTATTTATTCTCTGTGTTTTGTTTTATAGGAGGCTTTCATGAGGACTGGCGCAGGTCGCGTCCTCTGGTGGTTACATGCGTCAGGCCTGGAGGACCCGCTGACAGGTGAGGACATTGTAGTGTAGCTTTATGTGTCTTAGCTGTGCGTGAATGAACCCATTCAAATTATTGTATGTGTGCATGCATGCATGTTTCTATTGTGTGTATATTTAGATGGCTCAAAGGATATGTGTTTTATTGATTGCCTCATCTTTGTCTGCAATTAAAATATTTGTTTATCACCCACGTAGGATTATAATTGATTGTAAACCCACAATATCTTTATGCACACATTATTTCTTTTGCATCAGTCTGTGCTCAGGCTGCTGCAATAGAAATTGTGGCTGTGACACATATATTGTGTGTTATCTTGAAAGCAGAAAGGGCACTGCTCATCCTGAGGCTAATGCAACATTGCACTTTTCCCCATGAAAACTGAGAGCACCATAACACTGGAGCAAACGTAATTCGCCATCAAAGACTTTACGGTCGTTTATCTCATTTATCCTCCATCTCACCTGGGAAGGGACACTCATGTGGAACTGTTTAATGATTTACTGTGACTGGTGCTTAAACGCTTGTATGAGCATCTTGTGCTGATCGCTTGTGTTTTATATTTTCTCTCTCTTTCTCCTAATGTGTTTCTCCAGAGAGAGCACTTTGAAGGCCGGAGACAGAGTATTGAGCATAGACGGGATGCCTTTAAACAGAGAGAAGCATGCTGACGCTTTGACCATGCTGATGCAGAGTGGCCAGGAAGCCCTGTTCCTGATTGAGTATGACGTCTCTGTCATGGGTGAGCAAACACACACACACACACACACACACACACACAGACACACACACACAGACTATGTGGAGGCATGGTAGGGCAGTGTTGCTCTGAGGGTAAATAATGTGGCCGTTTGGCTGCATGGATGTGAGTGAGTGTCTGTGCTGGAGACGCCACTAGGAGAGTCACACTGGCCCATGAGCACACTTCAACAGGGGAAGGGTAGATGGGTAATATTCAGTGTTTTATTGTAATGTGTTGAGCTCTCTACACTTGGCAGGTTTAATCCCAATATTTAAAAAAAATATTACATTTTGTACCAGTACATTTTGTACTTGTCTTTATTTTTCAGGCAGTTTGTTAACACATTTTTTTAACATCATAAAACAAGGTTGGATGTGAGCAGTAGTCAGAGATCTTATGGTATGTCCCTAAGCCCTGGTAATGCCACATTCTGTATTTCTAGGGGCAGGATGACAGGCTTTCAAATGAGTGTTTTAAAGGGCCACTCCAGTACTGTACTTCTATAAAGTTGAGGGATTCACAAGAGACGGTTTACAAGTAGAATGGTCAAAATCAAAGCAGCAGAGGCCAAGATATCCAAATTTTTTGTAAAGGTCCAAAGAAAATACTACATTTCCCATGATGCAACTAGCTAGCATCTTTTTATTAGAACTTCCCAGTCTTTCAAACTCCACATTTCAGTTTGTAGGCTTCCTGATATAAATGTGTAGTCGTGCACAGGCCAAGATAATCCTGATGACATCACTATGACCTCATCTGGTATATGGAGTATAAACTTCACATAGGGTTAAGTCTCTAATGCAAAAAATAATAGTAATCCACAATTCCCCTCAAATGACTTAGAAATTAAGTAACAAACCTGTTTTTAAAATGTAAGGAGTAGAAAGTACAGGTATTTGTGTAAAAATGTAAGGGGGTAAATATAAAAACAGAATAATACAGAAAAATAAATACTAAAGTTAAGTAGAGATACTGAAAAAACTACTTAAGTACAGTAATGAAATATTTGTACTTTGATACTTTTGCCCTCTACTGTTGAGTACTACTAAACTGACTTTTACATGTGAAATAGGTGGAATGCCCCTTTAAATTAATTGTTGATGGAATTTAGTAGACAGTAAATATCAATATTATTTTGCCGCACAGGTTTCATTTGTTAATGTTTCTTTCTTTCATTTTTTGACTCCATGTTGTGAAAAGGAGCAACCACCAGCACAAGTCAGTTTCACTGTGAGTGTACAAAGTGAATCAAATCTATTTTGAGCTCCTCACCACTGGGTCAAAAAGTAGTAAAATATGCCTCTGAAGACAGGAACTCACTACAGTGTATAACCTCCATTTGGTCATGGTGACTAATTCTCCATAAGATCACAAACTCTGCACTGCTCTGAGCAAAATAGGGCAGGTCACCAAGGACAGTTGACACACATTATCTTTCTGTCTCCAGACCAGAACCAGTCAGAGGGTTCACAAGTGAAATCTGGAAAATAAATGTAACATTATTTTTCAGTTTAAGCTGGTTACAGATTTGTCAAATGCTCAAGCTCACTCTCTGTAACATCGTTGCAATTCTCAAAACATTAAGATCAATCACCACATAATTTTATACTGAGCAGCACAAGACTTAATTTGTCCTGCAAAAGAAGTGAAGTGCTCAGTCAAAAGTAGCAAGGTGAAATGTTGAGTTGGCTCTTTAAGGAGGAGACTTTAGTTTTTGCAAGATTTATAGAAAATGCATGGCAGTTAAGAAAGAGAGAAATGTATCCAACATAATAAGACATTTAGGTTATGTAAATTGAATGTTATGAAATGTTCAGTGTTTATCATAGTGAAAGCTCTTTGAATAAAGCTCCTGTTGAGGTCTTCACCGTGCCCTTATCTTGTGAGATGTACTTTAAGTTTAGCTCTTAAATAATAATCCAAACTTTAAAAATAACAATTTCATTTAGTTTTCACAGAAATTATTGACAGAAATGAATGAAATGCTGAGATATAGGCCAAGCTGTGTATATTTTTAAAGTTTTCTTGCACCTCTTAAAATGAAGAAGGCCTCGCGACTGCCTGTGAAGCTTTGGCGACCCCTAGCGGGAGGTCGGGAACCTGTGGTCTAAATGATAGCTGAGGAGCTGCATCTGTAATCTACATTGTACAGCAGTCAATAAATTGCACTAAACCCTGACAATAAGCATGTTTCTAAATGAATCTGAAGACTCACCTGTTGTCAGTTCTTGGGGAATTATGACAATACCAGATTAATGAAAATATGAAACATTTATGTGTAAAAGGTTATGGTGTTTGGGTGCAGTATTTTACATGTAGGAGTTTACACAATGAGCATCCAGTTACAGATCCATCCAGTAATCTTGATGATCTCTATCATGTCTGTGTGTCTTATCTGTTTCAGAGGCAGTGCAGCAAGCCTCAGGCCCTCTGCTGGTGGAGATAGTGAAAAGTCACTCTGCCAGCCTGGGGATCAGCCTCACCACCACAATATACAGGAACAAACAAGTTATTATTATTGACAAGATAAAGCCAGCCAGCGTGGTGGAAAGGTGAAACTAGAATCTTACATTATTCTGCTCCACAGACACTTTCCTGTTAAACAACAACTTTCCTGATACAACCTGCCGCTTTCTCACTCTCTCAGGTGTGGAGCACTGCATGTAGGTGACATCCTTCTTTCTATAGACGGGACCAGCACAGAGCACTGTTCTCTGATGGAGGCCACGCAGCTGCTTGCCAGTACTTCTGATGTTGTAAAACTGGAGATTCTCCCAGCCAGTCAGAGCAGGCTACCTGTCAGACCTCAAGACACAGGTATGTCCCAGAGGTGATGCAAAAAAACAGCAAATAGATTGCAACAGAAAAAGCAAATCAGAGACTTCTGAGAATCAACAGCAAAAGAGTAAATCATCTGAGACAAAGCCAGTGATAAGCATGACTATATATTATTTAGGGCTTCAACTAACAATATTTCATTGTTGATAGTTTTATTGATGTGTAAAATCTCAGAAAATGGTGCAAATGGTGCCTGTTTTTGTTCAACTGAGCATCAAAAACTCAAAGATACTTAATTTATAATAGTATACATCAGAGAAAAACAGCAAATCTTCACATTTGAGAAGCTGGTATTTTAAATAATTTATGATAATTGTTAGAAAATAATTTTCTATGGATTAAATCTGCAGATTTAAGAACTAATAAAATAATGTATGATGTTTTTACCATATCATGCAGCCCTAATTGCAGGGTGGCATATTCTCAAAGCTGTGCTAAAAGACAAGAGTGCAATTAATAATGATTAGAAAAAAGAAATATGAAGGTTTAATTTTTATGTGACTTTATGCTTCTGTTCCACTATAATTTTACATTTTACTCCACTATAAAGTATCTAGTTACTCGTTAGTCACTTTACAGATTAAAATTTTACATAATAGAAACACTTATAAAATACAACATATCGAGATTAAAGATGAAACCAGAACCAGTGGTTTACAACCTTTTGGCCTATGACCTCTTACTTAAAGAGGAGTCTGTGAAAGAGGTCAAATTTCTTAATATTTCACAAACACGAACGGTATCTAAATTAGATAAATTAGCTCCACCCCAACTAGCAGCAGTAAAAAGCTGCTTACATATTGTTGCATCAGTTCAAACAATCTAAAAATGTTCAATATTTTTGAGTGTATTTAGTTAAAAAGACTCCTGTACTTTTACTTGTAATATTGTATTTCTGCAGCGTGATAGTGGTACTTGTACTTAAGTAAAGGATCTGAGTACTTCTTCCACCACTTCATGTAATAAAGGTATTAAAATATGTGTATATTAACCTGGTGGGCTTTAAATGTTTTTAAGTATATGTAAAATGTATAAATGTCACAATTTTATATCAAAATATAAAATAAAATTCTGTACATGTTCGAGTGAAAATATGCAAATACATAGGTCAATGCAACGGATTCACAGAGGACAATGTCGACTAATTGACTAATTATTTCAGTGCTACGTGATTTAAATCCTTTGAAGAAGTTCCGCATGTACATTGTGGAGAATATAAAGTAGACCTGCTGGAGTTCCAGCATGTTCTCCTCACTATATTGTTACTGGTCTGCTCTTAGCCGTTTTACCTACAGCTGTAAAGAGCCTGGCTGCCTCCCAGCTGCCTTCTTTCATGTACTGTGAATCAGCCTGTGTGTATATGTGTGTGTGTGTGTGTGCGCGCACACTGCCGACCACAATCCCTCTGCCTTTTGGGTACACACTCGGCCTCTTATGCATACCAACAAGCCACACACACAAACACACTTTTCTCTGTCAGAGATCATGTTCGTGCCATGTCCTGCAGGCTTATTTCTGGGTCAGCAGCTGCAGGGGCTCCTTAACATGTAAGCATGAGAAGAATCACACAACATGACAAAGAGAAATAAGATGTAGTTTAGTCTTCTGTTGGGTCACTGTATTCTTTCTTCTGCTATTTCTTTCTTTATCCCTTGTTAATTTTTTATCTGGTCCACTCTTCAGTGTTTCACTTTTATTTTTGCCAAACTTTCATCCTAATTTACAGGCTTATTTCCTCTAAAGACAACATACAGATGATACTTTCTAAGTAAAATTATTTAACTGCACTGGCTCCTGTTGACCATTAAACAACCTCAATTCAAAGTGCAGCCCAGGTGTCACTTCTCTATGATATTACAGGCATGTATCTTCTGAAATTCCTATTCAGTAATTATTCACTGAATAGGCGCCATGACGTTTTGATAAAACTATATTTTCACAGCTTCTTCTCTCCCCCCTCCGAGGATAAAGCATGATTATAAGATGCAATTTGTCTAATCTCCTGTGGGGATTTAATAAGACTGATATGGCCACTAAGAGATTAGGAGTTAATGTTTCTTTCCACCCGCGTAGATCAGGAAAAAAACACAATTTCTTGGAGAGCTTCCCCTAGGTGAGCTTAACATAAGCTGCCAGAGCCAAAGCTTTACAGGTTTTGATTGAGTCCGATAGAAACTGGTTCTCCGTAAAGGGCTGGAGGTTTCTCCTGCGAGTGTTCTGATTACATACGGTTGGATTTAACCAGGTTCCTTGAATATGGCAAACATCCCAGGCACTACCGCAGTCATGCATGTTTCCAGCAAATCCTCCATCCATGTGAGCAAGTTGTCAGAGATTAGACCCCTGCAAATGAAGCAGCGAGGATTACTGTCACATGTAACACTCTGTGACAATTTTAGCTAAAAGAATCTGTAAAGGAAAGTTAATTATTGAGGTTAGTGTCACACGAGGGGTCAGTTGATTCCCTTTAAGTGCTTCACAGATACTGTTTGACTGAATGCGCTGCGTTATGCAGGCTTTGACATGAGGGATAAGACGCCTTTCAGAATTACCAACAATCTGTGCTCTCCATTTGGTTTAAAGCAGGAAAAGTCAACAGAATAGCTTTAAAAAAAAAAAAAAAGAATATTATCACACAGGATTAAATTAAAACACAGTTAGACCAAACTGTCTGCCAATCAGAGGCAGAAACAGACACCATGCATCATCAGCAATCAAGCTTTCAGCTGTTCCCAATCAAGGTCAAGCCTCATGCCTCCTAACAGCCAGTATCACTTCCTGCTGAGCGTAACAACATCATGCCCAGTGGTCAACTTTCTCAGACTGTTTTTGCACCTTCGGGCTCTTTTGAATATGAAATTATAAAAATGATCTCCAGTTTGCACTTAGCTTTTTGGAAGCTTGCTAGTAAAAGTAAGATTTTTTTTTTTTTTTTACCACATTCCATTCAGCCAACTCAGCTCTGTGTGTCTAAGTGATTCTCAGATGCTCATCAAAATACATTAAACCACAGGATTTAATCTAGTGTACCATGACGAAAACATCAAATATCAATTACTCTGCTCTGAATTATCCTCCAGGCACTGTGCAGTGTGGTACAAATTTAGACATGGGAATGAAAGCGTGATTTCATGGGTAGAATTTAGAAAAGTATACAACAGAGGAGTGGATTTGGTTTACTTAATGGATGTGTTTGCCTCCGTACTGCTGCAGTAAAAGTGCAGAAGAGCAACCATCATCACTGGGACCAAAGCAGCAACTACTGCCATCCCCCACATGCCAGCCACGGCAAGACATGGAGCAGCCCAAGCCACCCACACAACCAGCAGGACCACTGCAAATGTAAGTTATCACTTGTGACAGCACTGCTGCTGGCGAGACACCATAGCAGGAGCTTTTTTTTCTTCAGCACGTTTCTTAAATCGTTTCCACGAGGTTTATTCCAACACTGCATTTCTTTCTTTAGTTCCCATGAGCGTATTCTGCAGCTGTGGACGTGAATAAAAATGTCATGGTTGATGTGATTCGCTCGAACTGTACAAGGCTTTTGATACGTGTAGTGCTATGTCTCCTTTCAGCTCTGGTGAGTGGTGGCTTCTCCCCTTCCTCCACAGCCACCTCAGGCTTCAGCAGCCAGGGTAGCAACACGTTGCCCTGCCCCATCCCTCCGATCGCTCCCAACAGCCCCCGCAGCTCGACTGGCAAGAGGAGGAACAGGAAGAAGGACCACAAGAGCTCACGTATGACAAACCGCCTTCCTTTTTGTTCCACGTTAAAGCATTGGTTCAAGCCATTTACATGAAACATATTTCCTCATTTAAAGCTGGTGTGTAGTGCAGATTGTTTTGGTTTTTTTCTCCCTGAGGTGTGTGAGATTTACAGGTGTGTGTACCTCTCTATAAAATGCAATACAATTTAAACAGCACCACAAACTGCAGCCTCCAGAAAATGATTATGAAGTTGAATCAACACCTCTTTAAAACAGAATATTATAACCTGCAGGACTGTTGTATTAGACTGCATTATTTTTAGCTAAGTGCTCCTAATAAACTGGTATCTGAGTGTAAACCTACCAGATTTCTGCCTCCAGCTTTGCTCTTTAACGCAAACATATTTTTATTACTTTTTGGCAGTTTGATATATACAGTACAGTTATCCATACATACAGGCTTGTAGTTGTAGGCTTATTTATAGTATCAGTGGACAAATGAATGCATTAAAAATAAAAGAGATAAATGTAGTACTTGTTAAAACAAGATAATCTTCATCACTGGACAGTTTTTATAGATATTTTTCAGTGTGAATTCAGTAGCGTAGTAGTAGGCGTCCCCGCTACCAACGTTCATGTCACCCTCATGATGAATCATAATCACTGAACCCTTTAACTACTCTTAACTTTAGGGGTTAGGGTTAGCGCCATCATCAGGTCAAAATTTCAATGTGTCAGATACTTTGATTTTATGGCCAAAGACCTAAATACACACTAAACGGAGATGGTGAAGATGGTAAACATATCTGTTAAACATCAGCATGTTGTCATTGTGAGCATGTTAGCATTAGCATTTAGCTGAAAGCACCGCTGTGCCTAAGTACAGACTCACAGAGCTGCTAATATGATCTGTAGACTCTTATTATTGTGCGAATCACAAATGAAGATCTATTAGTATAGGGAATGTGACGTCATCAACAGCAAGTCGGACACTTTTAGAAGACACCAACTGTGACTTATGATGTGAGAGTGTCCTCCAAAAATGGCAGCGCTGCCCCAGAATGCTCTGTGAGTTGAGTCAGACATCTCAAAACCCAATTGAATGAAAACCAAAAGCTTCCTGCAGGGCTGAATCCCCTTGCTAAGATAGATGGATATATTTATAATTTAGGTGAACTTACCCTTTAAATATTTATTTGCAGTGCTGTTACAACACCTTTCCCTCCCGTTTTGCCCCCTCGCTGTGTTAACAGATTTGTCTGATCACTGACGTAAACACGACTGACGTAAACTCTGATATGTGACTCACTTCCCTTTCCATTCCCATGTTGTCTCTGTGGGTGCATGTCTCTTCCCCTTACCCTCTTCCATTTTTTGTCTCCCACAATCCTTCTCTTGCTCCATTTATCTGCCACTTCTCCACTATTATCCCTCTCTGATGTGTCCCCTCCCTCCCTGTCCCTCTAGTATCTCTGGCGTCCAGTTCTGTCGGCCCAGGGGGGCAGGTTTTTCATGTGGAAACAAGTGAAGTCATCCTGAGGGGGGATCCGCTCACAGGTTTTGGGATCCAGCTGCAGGGGGGTGTCTTTGCCACAGAAACCCTGTCCGCTCCCCCAGTCATCCGCTTTATTGAGCCCGACAGCCCAGCTGAGAGGTAACGCACTGAGACACCTAACCAGTAAACAAATATCATATAGGGAGTCACCTTGAACGAGACGGCCCCAGTGCTAATCATTCAGCCACATGTGAAAAAAGGCAAATTATAGCCTGGTGTCTCTCTGAGTATTTCAACTGAAGGCATTAGAGCTGCGTTAGTATAATGCAGAGGTTCACAAAATGGGCCTAAAGAAGGGGTCACAAGACAAATTTGAGGGGTCATAAGATGATTAAAAGCAGAAAAACATACTGTGTACTGTGCAAAGTAATGCTTATCTTTTCAGAATCTCATCTAATCTTTGCTTTTCATTATCAGTGCTAGCAGCGTGGCTCTGGGTGGCAGTCAGTCTGTCCACCACTTTGGTTCGGATTGATCAATAACTATTTAATGAATTCTCATAACATTTTGTAGACATTCATGGATTCAGGATGAATCCCAATAGCTTAAGTGATCCCCTGACTATTCCTCCAGCACCAATTTAATTTATGACTTTGATACTCAGCCATTCCCATCAGCCTCAGTTTTGCCAACAGAATTGTATAAAAAGCTTCCTAAACAGGAAATAATCTGCTCAACGTCATCCAAATCACTCGTTCTACACAAAAATCTTGCTGTTACTGAGTTCACTGTTTGGGTTCATTGTACAGTTTTAAATATAATGTGAAATTTCCATAAAAAATGTCAGCCAGTTGTCATCAGTTTACCAAATGAAAGAAAAAGGGTCCTTTTTTTAAGGAAAGAAGTTGGGAACCACTGTGCTAGACTAAGTGAACGTGGTAAAAAAAAAAAACACCAGCCAAACATAAGCATGTTGGCATTGTCATTGTGAGTATGTTAGCATGCTTCGTTTTAAGGGCTTTAGTGCTTGTCACCTCTTGGCGTGGTGACGTTTTATTTCCTTAGTGAGGGAGGTCACAGCCCTAAAAGGTCAACAGATGTTCTCAGTAATTTGTAATGACAGTAACTTTAGTCTCGAGTGTGTTTCTGACTAATGTAGAGGAGCAGTCATCTGCAGCAGTACATGTATCACACATTATTCATGAGCCATTGATTCAGCCAGTGTTTCTCTTTTTAATGGTGAAAAGCATCCTATTGGTATGTAGCATTGTATTGATCAAGACTACGTGTTGCAGTCTAATTAACACACAGCTCCGGATCAGGCCAGTGCATTGTATCTGTCCTTGTCTTGCAAGATTAATGACGGTGTCTGTGCCGGCAGTGCAGGGCCATCTCCCCTGGGTCTTGTAACACGATTAGTCCAGCAGCACTTGGACAGGAGTGACTCAAGTACAGCATCCGACTGTGATGTTGGTGTCTCAGCCTCCACACAAGGTTAATGAGCAGCGGTGGTTAGTGAATTAATATCAGTTGACAGTGCTTCGGCGTTTGCCCTTGCAATTAGGGGTCTGATTAAATGTGTGATATGTGTGATTATTTTTTATTTTCTGTATGTGTGCTCACTGACTGAGGTGATTTTGTAAGTTCAATCTAGGTCAGTGAGCCAGTGTGTTCGTGTCAAGACTAGAGGCAATGTGTCATTTTATAGATGAAATTTTATACCTTCAGCCTATGAGACGTGGTGTCTGTGTGTGCTGAATGTGGCACTTGTCAGAATAATTTCACTGAAAGCTTTGCTGATGGTTAGATTAATTAATTATAAAGACAGAGAGTTATTCACCCAAAATGTTGGCGATTGATTAATCTTAAATTATTCATGAAGCAAAGGTTGGTTTTGTTTTTAAATGTTTTTTTTATTTAATATCCTTGAGACACTCTTTAGTTTTACTTGCTGATATATTTAAATAATATTTGTATCTGTTTTAATTATGTGTGTATGGGATGACTGCATTAGTTTTAATGAGGTTTACATAAAAAACTGGCAGCTAAGTGTGTGTATATGTAATTTGTTCTTTCTTGATCTTAATGAAACCTGAATAAATGAAGATTACCTAACTAAAGATGACATATTCAGACTAAACAATTAACGGATTGACTGGGGGGGGGGGTTTTACTAATCGACAATTAGAATAATTATTATTTTCTGCTGTAGCTAGAATTCAGGACAGTTATTTAACACTATACAAGGTTGTATAATGAAATGAAAGTCTGCAGTTCCTTCATGCTACACACAATAAAAAGATAATTAAATTTACAGAATAACATAGAAAATAAATAAAATAAAATAAACCAATACATATACAGTTATTTATACACATTATATACATACACGCACACACTCTGGAAATAATTGGGAAGTACATATTTTGAATTTGTGTCTGGGGAAATGTAAACAGCAGTAACAAGTTAGTGCTAATATCCATTTTATTTTTTAATCCTGTTGCTTTTACACCATTATAAAAACTGCTTTTTGTGTGTGTTTTTTTTCCTGTGTGAAGGTGTGGGCTGCTGCAGGTTGGGGACAGACTGTTGTCCATTAATGGGATCCCAACTGAAGATGGCACTTTGGAGGAAGCCCATCAGCTGCTCAGAGACTCCGCACTGGCCAATAAGGTCACAGTGGAGATTGAGTTTGATGTTGCAGGTATCATGTTGTGAATTTCTTATTTCTTATTGTGAGCTCTTGTTACATTTGTGCCTTCCTTCCTCACATTTATCTTTTACTTTTAAATCCAATTAGAGTCAGTGGTTCCCAGCAGTGGCACCTTCCACGTTAAACTACCCAAGAGGAGAGGAGTGGAGCTTGGCATCACCATCAGTGGTGAGTTTGTCAGCATAGAGTCATACAGCAGGGGGCAGTGTTGCTCAGTAATGCTCCACAGACCTGCACGCTGTAAATGTCCTTTTGAATCAATGTTCTGTGATCCATAAAACACAAGGCTTCCAAAACCATGAGGGCACATACCTCATTACCTCTGAATAATACTGGCCTGTACCAGCATTCATCATGACCCTTTCAGCTCTAACTAACTCTGAAAAACACGGACAGGAAGCTTAATTAGTGCAACAAAAAGAAAAGAAAGTTGAGGGTTTTGTTTTTTGTTTTTTTTAATGTTTCCAAGTTTACACTGTCTTATCTTCTCATCCTACTCATCGTCATCCTCATCCTAGAATAAAAAAACATGTGAATTTTTCTTCTGTTTTAACAGCAAGTAAGAAACCTGGCAAGCCCCTCATCATCTCTGACATCAGGAAAGGAAGCATAGCACACAGGTATGTCCTATAAACACACAGCTAATGATATTACTGCTGAACACACATTACAGCTCTCACAGCAGTTAGTCATGTAATTGTTCTTGGAAATGCAAAAGCGGTCCGTGGCTTTCAGTTCCGGTGCAGGTCACATTAGAGAGACGTCATTTTGCTTTACAGTGCAGGGGGTGAAGTAGGTTCTAGGTTCTAGGCTTATGTGGGATTATTCACGAGCAAAATAAAATTGTTGTGAATCCACTGTGTAATACAAGCCTAATTGGATTAAGCTATCAAAACTGGATCAGTAGGGCAGCCACATTTCAGAAGGGCTCAGTGTTGATTAGGTTGAGGGTGAGGTTACGGTCACCCCCAAGAATCCCACTGAGACACCAGGCTAATAGGATTCTCATACTGAGTCAGGAGATGCAGCTCCCTGGTCCCAGTTAATAGTTGTGATCCTCTTGCTCTTGTGTCTGTTAGAACAGGCACTCTGGAGCCTGGAGACAGGCTTCTGGCCATCGACAGTGTGCGTCTGGAGAACTGCACCATGGAGGACGCCATGCACGTCCTGCAGCAGGCCGAGGACATGGTCAAACTCCGCATCCAGAAAGATGAGGACAACATTGGTACAAATAATGCCTTCAAACACCAAATACACATCCTGTATAGAAGCAGCAGTGGGAAATAACCAAGTACATTAACTCAAGTATTGTACTTAAGGACAATATTTACATTTGATGCTACTTTATGCTTCAACTCCATGATAAACTATATATAATATATATATAATAAATTACATTTAAACCAGTTCCAGTTCCTTTTTGCCTTGTGACCCCTTATAAATAAGCATTGTCCTAGTTGAGGCCACTTGATGTCTATAAGTTAAATCAAAAAGTGATTTCTCGTTTTAAACGTCTCCAGTGATTTCATTTAAATAACTGTTTGAGGCCTAAAGAAGTAAAATGATCCACATTTTCACCAAAAAGGACTGGACTTGGGCTGCAACTAACCCTTCATAAGTCTTGCCTGGAGCCTCTGTGCCTCTGTGCTCCGATAACAGTTGTGCAAGCTTCGATTAACTTTCTCCTTTCCTTCTTCCTGTCTGCCCGTCTGTGTTTAAAAGATAAAGCAACACATAGAGCCAAGTTAAGTTAGATAATGTTAGCAAAATGCTATCTAACTAGCTAGGGTAACTAATGATTGATGTAAATTAGTTATCTTGTTAGCTGGCATTTTGCTAACATTACCTAGCTAATTTAAGATGTGATGTCATTTCTGTCTTCAAACCATCCTCAAAATGTGGTTGTCTTTTCAACATAGACGAACCTAGCAGGTAGCAGATCCGAGTACAGGAACGAAGAAAGTTGGGAGCACAGAACAAAAATGGGGCGGGACTCAAGACTGGTCAATTCTTTGCTTTATTGATTTTCTTTATTTTATTTTTGGTCCATATAAATATCAGATAATAGTAACAAATGTCTATTTCAGGTTGCCAGAGCCCAAGTTGACATATTCAAATGTCTTGTTTTGTCGCCAAACAGTCCAAACTCCAAATATATACATTTTAATATATTAGAAAATTAAGAAAAACAGCTAATATTAATATTCCAAAATCTGGAACCAATTTTCTGTTGTCATTGTATCGGCTCTACTCTGGATTAATTACCCAGCTGTATATAAAATAGTTAAAGTAGCTCCAAGTACTGACAATGTAATCATGTCATAAGATCTTTTTACTGATAATACTTCTGTACTTTCACTTAAATAATAGTTTGACTTTCTCTCTTGTATAGGTACTTTTACTTAAGTAAATAATGTGAATATTTCCACTGTGTATAAGCCATACAAAAATTCTAAATCAGTACAATGAGTTAAATAGCTCCTATTATTTATCCATTTACACAAACATTTTAACATTTTATCATAAAATTGTTCTATCTTCGCAGGGTTTGTAACATCTGTGTAATGTTGAGTCTTATTTATGGTATCTCTACTGTCTCCCGCTATTGCTATAGATGAGTTGGAGATGTCCGGCTCTATAATCTACACAGTTGAGCTGAAGAGATATAACGGACCACTCGGCATCACAATTTCTGGCACAGAGGAACCCTTTGACCCCATCGTCATTTCTGGCCTCACTAAGAAAGGCCTGGCAGAGAGGTGAGGAATGGGGATTAAGATGGTTTTAGAAGATGGTAACACTTAAATTAGGCTATTGTTAGTCATATCTGCAAAGGAAACCTTTTTCTTTTTGTCATTGTTAGCATGTTAGCTCAGTTTTCTTTCTTTTTTTCTAAAATAAAGAAGACTGTTAACAATGGTTGTCTCGTCTTTTTCTGTAACAATAAGCCTCTTTGTTCCCGTCTCAGTCAGCGCACTGGCAGTCTGACAGGCCCGCCTGCCGGTACTGTCTGGTATACTCTGGTATCTCTGTCTCCTCTGCTCTCCTAACCCTGCAGGACCGGAGCCATCCATATAGGAGACCGAGTCCTGGCCATTAATGGGGTCAGTCTGAAAGGAAAGCCACTGAGCGAAGCCATCCATCTCCTGCAGATGGCCGGGGAGTCAGTCACCCTCAAGATCAAAAAACAAGCAGACAGTATGTTTTTTATTTTTTATTTTAGTTATTATTATATTATTTATTTTCCCTTTTTAAAGGTCCAGTGTGTAACATTTAGGAGGATATATTGATTAATGTGTAATCACCTGAAAACACAAACCTTCATGTTTCTACAGTAGCCCAGAACGGGCAAACTGAGTTTTGCAGCCACAGTAGTTTCTCCTTTAAATACAGACGCGAGCAGTGTTCAGTTAGTTGCAATCTGCAACTTAACTGCTGGACGCCACTAAATCCTATACACTGGACCCGTATTTACCCATAGCAGTTGATTAAAACTGATCTTACAAATACAGCTGCAGTATTGAGGGGAAAAAAACAAGCAAAATAGAATTTTTCTATAGTTTTAGTCTGATGGTAATTTTTTCCATGAATCTTCCAGCCCAGTTGAGCCAGTGTTCACTTATACATTGCCTTCATCCTTTGCAGATTGTATGTTTATTTATATGCAACTTAATAGCACATACACTTACATAGCACTTTTCAGTAGTGGGAAAAGAGTAGAGGGAGAAAATTAGACAAAGATAAAGTTAGTTTTAATATTGATTTAGTTCTTTCTGAGGCCTAAAGGCAGTGAAAGTGAGGCAGTTTTTATTTTTGCATTTAAAAAAAAAAAAAAGAGGCAGGAAGTGAGTTTCTTCCTTGTTTAATGCTGATTTGACACTCGTGTTCATTCCCAGAGTCTGATGGTCGGCAGCTTCCGGACAGAGAAGCTGGCTTTCTAAGTGACACAGAGGATGAACTGACAGACTTCCAGAAGACCAGTAAACACTCAGAGGTCTACTCTGCCACTGTACCCAGTATAGACTCTGCAATGAGCTCCTGGGATAGCTCAGGGTTTGATGCAGGCTACGGTAGCCAAGGTGAGGTCCACTAGACGCTCACTGCCTAAAAATTACCCATCTCCTTACTTGCATCTAATGAGGTCAGTTGATTTTCTTGCTTTTTCAGGGACTTATCTTCACAAAGCATCCGATATATTGCTCAATCCAAATGAGTGGCGGCGTACGAAGCACAGGAGCCAAACCAGTTCCAGCTCTGCAGGCCTAGTCCACCACCCAGCGCTGTACGATGGGAGATTCACTGAGGATGAGTGGGACAAGATACCTGGGTAAGCGCACACAGCTGCTGTTTACTTCCTGTTGACATCTTGTTTTCTGCCATTGCAGCTTTTAAGTGTTTTTGATTTCATTGTAAAGGGCATATTTAATTTAAATCATATTCTGCATACAGGCAGTGGTGGAAAGTAACAAAGTGCATTTACTCAAGAACTGTACTTAAGTAAATTTTGGGGGTAGTCGGACTTGGACGTAGTTACTTTACATAAAACACATATAATAAGTTTAAAAAATATAAAACATTCTTGAGATTAAACCAGTTCCCAACCTTCTTGGTTTGTGATCTCCCTGACAATAAAGCAGTGCTTAGTCAGGACTAAGGGGCAACCTCTGTGGCTGGAAAATGAAGCCAACAAAAACTGCAGTTCCTCGAACGGCCACTTGAGGTTGGCTGCAGAAGTGGGTCAATCCTCCATATGGCCCAAAAAATGCCCAACTTTACAGCAGAACTAAACATGATTACAGCCGGGTCCAAAAAATGAGCAAAATATCCCGTTCATGACAACTGTACGGGCGTGAATTTTAAAATGTTGAGGTTTAAACTTTTGCATAATTAAGGAAATGGCCGCTTTGAGTGACAGGTGTGTGCTGTCACAGGCAGCTGTTTTCAGTAACCAGGCTTCATTCAGCCCACCTCTGCTCCACTTATGCTCCACCTCTTTACCCCAGCTGCCCCCACTGAGCTTGCACAGCTCTTCAGAATTTTATGGGGGACGTTACGGGACGTTATACAGTCTCTGGTTGGGGACCCTTGTCATGTGTCAGATTCCTATAAATTACCTACCTAACCCTCTAAACTTCTCACATTGGTTTTGTTTGAATAACTGTTAAGAGACCTAACAATTATTAAATTATCCAGTATTTCACAAAAAAAGCAAAGATTTGAGAAAAGCCCCAAAAATGAATACAAAGTTGTGTAACTTATTTCCTGCCTCATTAATCATCTCATGACCCCTCAGATACATTTTATGACACTTTGGAGGGGTCTGACCCCTTACTAAACAACCTAACTGTATATAAAGTAGTTTCTTCCCCTAAACTAGTAACAACAGTTAAAGGCAGTTTACACATTTTTGCATTAGTATTAACAATCATATGATTCAGTTATAGGGGGCATTTTACTGCACATCGACACTTTCACTTTTGATACTTTTAAGTGTATTATGCTCATAATACTTCTACTGAATTCAGGACTTTTACTTACATTGGTACTTTTACTTAAGTAAAGGACCTGAGTACATTTTCCACCACTGTGTATAAATAAAAGCTTCTGTGATTTTCTTTTCCCGTGTTCGGGTTCATTAACTAAAGCAAACTGAATTACTTTCTCTTCATTTTGTGTTGTATGCTTTCATGTTTTGAGCTTTTCCAAACTGTCCTTTTCTCTTCTTTCTCAGGTATTCTCTTTCTCATCTGCTTTACTAACTGCCCACGAGCTCTTTGGTGTTTCACATAGATGCATCTTTTCTGTCACCCTTTGTCCACACCAAAAAAACGTTTCCTCAGAATGCACCTAAAGCGCCCAAGGATACATCAGCCTTATCTGTCTCTTCACACTTGACTTCTTTTTTTTTTTTTTCCTGAACTTTTGTGTCACATGCTTTCAATTTTCTGCTATTTTTTGGGGGGTGACGTTACTTTTGTTTTAAAAAAAAGAAAAAAAAAAAAGAAAAAGAAACTCTTAAAGGCTTTTATCTAATCTAGCGGACTCCTCAGCGTTCGAGCTGCCACAAGTGAGAGAATTTACAATAAACCCTGAATGTGGTCGTGAGAGTTTTTCAAAAGGGATTCTCCAGCACTCAGCCCAAAAACTGCATTTCCCATGCTGCTTTTGTAAGCAGCGGGCCTCAAGACCCACAGGGCTGCTCTCATGTTCTGGTTCCTGCGTTGTCATAGATTCATCAGCCCTCCTCGTTGCCATGGCACCCTGAACCAGGAAGACAGCTTCTGGTCCCAGGCTCTGCAGGACCTCGAGACCTGCGGCCAGTCAGAGATTCTCAGGGAGCTGGAGGTAGGCCACGCCTGTCATCTCCAACCCCCCTTCTCCTCCATCTGCTTTGTCCTACTAGTGTATTCATAGACCGGTGTCAGCCTAAATGACCATGCCAGATAAAGCATTATGATAATCGCCAGAGTGTGTAATCTGTTATTAAATCTGACAAGACAGGCCGGGCACCTGCTGCCATACTGACCGGCTTTTACGCAATGCCCTGGCCTCTTATCAGACTCTGTGTACACAAGAGAGGTTACATGTTTGTTTATGTACTTGTTCATACGGAAATGATAATCCCTTTTTAAATTTTGTGCTCTTTCAGGCATCCATGACAGGTAGCGCTCTTAGTCTGTACCTAGAGGAGAGCAAGACCAACGAAGACTCAATGTTTCAGTCTGAAATTAGTCCTATTAAGAGGGAGGGAATTCATGGCGACCCCAAGAACAAAAGCAACCTGAACATGCCAACTGGAGCCAGAGACGTACCATCCCGGGGCAAAGGGGACCCCCCTGACATTTTGTCCCCTACCACCCTGGCACTTCACAAGGTAGTTCTGTTGGCAAATAATTAAACTTAATGTGTAAGGAATAAACACTTTAGATTAAAGCCCACAAATTACAATGTGAATATTTTCTACCAATTACATAATTACTTGCTACCCAGAGGAGAACAAGGGGCTAACAAATTTGGAGTCAGGAGGGTCCAATTGCTTAACCTTTGTAATTTTATAGTTTCTGTGAAAGAAGTCAAGCTCTTTCACTTGGACCCCAACGTTAAACTTTTGTTAGCATGGCGCTGCCATTTTAGGGGACTGAAAATGTTAACTTTTGAAACCCGTTCCAAAGTGCAATCTTCTGAAGCCACACCTCCATTACCCTTGGTGTGTGAACTGATAAAACGCTTTCGCTTCAAAAAATGGTGAAGACATGGCCTCACTTTGCACATTACTATTATGTTTTTAACAGCGACAACATTGGCGAACTATCAAGCTTTTTTTTGTGTTGCAAGCTCTGCTGAGTTTATTAACACTCTTCCAGCAAAGTGTAGAGTTGCTGCACCATTATGTGATCAGCGGAGACGCAACACAAATCGCCACACACATTTGCCCATCTGCCACAGCAGAAGTGTAGCAAAAGTCACCAATTGAGAGTCCTGGTGTAACCGATGAATTGTCAATATTTCCAACTCTTGGAGCAAATACAATACAGCCATTAATATGTATGTCTGCATTTACAGATTTATCTGCACTTTTTCAGATCTTTATACATATTTACAGATTCTTGTACGCATTTACAAATCTGATTATGCACGTGAATTGAGATACTGTTACTCAAGTCTCTTTTTTTTTTTTTTTTGCTACAATAATGGCACCATATTTTTTGCAAAACCGTTGATGTGTAAATAAGGACTGAGTCAGTTAGACATTGTCTTGTCTGAGGATGCTCTTCTCCAAACTCAGCATTGATCATGAGGTTGATCCTATACTGGATCCTAAAACTACATTACTGTTTTCATTTTAAGCACATATAAATTAAATATTTCATAAATACAGCTATAAAGGTGTACCCTGCTTCCCAGACTTAATGTTTTGATCCCCAACAACAATAATAATAATAATAATAATAAACATTTTACCATATAATTTACCAAAGTATTTTTATACTTTATCACATTTTCCATTCCTGGTAACAATATTAGTGTACCCTGTAATTAAGTACATAAAAACACTTCCCTCATAAACACAAAATTCTCCCTTGAGTCCATTAAGCCAGCCTCTTCCCTTGAACTAGCAGATTTCTATTATTCATTATTATAGATACTAATCCATAATTTTATTTTATTGATACCGCATTTAGTTTGTTGTACTTCCACTGTAATTTGTGGGCAGTATTAATGAAACATCGAGGCCAAAATGGGATAATTGATTGATCCGTCAGCTGCACTCACAGCCTGATGAACATGGTATAAACAACAGTGCCTGCGTGCCTCCTTCACTTGGCTCATTGTGCCTGTCGGTACAGTGTAACTGGACCCAGTGGATACCCGGCCAGTCAGGACTTGCAGTGTGTACAACAAAAACACACAACACTCATTATACATTGCCTTAGCAGCAAGCACATGCTGTGACTCCAGCCAGCGCTTCTGTACTTGTTTGGTGTCATGTGTGCATCTCACTGTGCTGTGTTTGACTGAGCGACTGACTGGGCTCAAACTAAGGGAGTAATAACAGAGCATGTCACAGTCCTGCAGTGTGGAAATGTTTTGAGTTGACACATCTTACATGATGTCATGGAAAGTCATCAAGTCCCACCTTTTTGAAGCTGTTTCTTGTTATGGTTAAAGCTGCTGACCTTGTTATAGAATAGGTCTAAATCCAAAGAGAAACCAATGACACAGAGGCATGTGTCTTCAAAAACTATTTGTAGTTTTTGGTAATGTTTAGTATATACAGAATGTGGATGGTGGACACAATAAAAGACACCTGTGCAGTGCTGTGATATACAGTACAATAGCTGTGTAACCGTTATTGTGTCCAACCCCATGTGTTTTTTCACCTGGCCACTGAATTAAGTTGTAATTTTCTTTTCAAAAGTTAGATGAGAAGATCCATACCACTCTCACATTTGTTGGTATAATATGAAGCTGCATCCAGTCTAGAAAGTCACCGTTTATGAGGAAAGGAAAACAAGATGCATGTTAAATAATGAGCTTTAGAGCTGTTATCTTTGGCTTTTTCCTTCTGTTTCCTGTTCTAGTTTTAAATTAACTGTCTCCAGCTTCATATTAAACAGACGGATATGAGAGTGCCATCCTTCTTCTCATTTTAACTCTTCTTTTTCATTTTATTTAATAATTTATTTTCATTTCCTGTCTGTTAAAGGAAAAACATATCAAAATCTGTTTGCTGTTTACGACAGGAAGAGTACAACTCACTCAGCCTGTGTGAATAGTTTTGTAACGTCTTCTGAGACTCTGAAAGGAGCTTTGTTAAGTTATCTCTGCCTGGTCTCGGAAACTTTAAATTTTTAACGTAAAGCCTGAAACCGGAGATCTGCAGTTGGGAAGTTGCAGACATTTAGGAGGCAACTGGATCTAATAAAAGATGCTATTGAGTTGCATTATTAGAAGGATCCAATATTTGTGGACTTTTACTCAACAGCATGAGTAAAGTCAATATCTGGCATTCTGCTATATCAATTTTTGACCATCCTTTTTAAATCTGTCTCTCACAAATCCCCCAACTTTATGAGAGTGCAATGCAGAATGGCTGGAGTACATTTTATATGTGTAAAAGCCTTAAAGACACAATCCCTGTGTAACTCTGACGTCTCCTGTGTTTGCAGGTGACCATAAGGAAGGACCTTGAGAGCTGTGACTTTGGTTTTAGTGTATCCGATGGGCTCCTGGAAAAAGGGGTTTATGTCAACATGATCCGCCCTGATGGCCCCGCTGACCAAGCAGGGTTAAAACCTTTTGACCGAATTCTTCAGGTACTTTTTACGTCAACCAAAAATACGTTTAAAGAAATTTAGACATTTTGGGAAATTCCCTTTCTGATCAGAGTTATATGATAAGATCAACACCAGTATCGTGTCTGTACACTAAAGCCAACCATCTCCTGGCCTTATTGGGAAAATTGGGAAATTAACTCCTTCAGAGTGTTAGATAAAAATATTGATACCAGTCTCATGTCTGTTTGTTAAAAATGAAGTGACAGCCAGGAGACGGTTAGCTTAGCATAACAACCTAGAAAAGGGGAAACAGATAGCCTATTCTTGTGAATTTTGTGTAACCTCTCCATTTATACATTTAAAATTTTGTTTAAGGTTTTTTTCTTGCTGTTTCCTGTCTAATGTTGTATTATTTACCAAAAAAAAGTCTTAACTTTTTACCTTTTTGTATAGTTTATTTTTCTTTTCTTTATGCTATTTTATCATAGTTTCTAAATGGAGTGTTTCCCTGGTCAAACTATTCATTTTAAAGAAATGTTATAGCATGTTGAATGGTGAATAATTTGATTGATTCTGGTGTTCCAGGTGAACCGTGTCAGGACCAGGGACTTGGACTGTTGTCTAACAGTGCCCCTAATTATAGAGGCAGGAGACTGCCTGGACTTGGTCATTAGCAGGAATCCACTGGCAGCAGCAGACACCCAACTGCCCGACGACTGTGACGACCCTTCCAACCCCCTTTTCTGCTTTCCAGAGCGCAGGACCAACAGCATCGCCCTGTGACCACAAACACTAGCTTTTGAAAGCACCGTAGCGTCGGGACCCTCACACACATCACGGACGGTTAAGTTTGTCACATTGTACCTCTCAGACAGACCTTCACACTCATGTTCAACACACCTAAAAGCATCTCTCACTCACAAAGATACAAGTGCATGTGTTCACTATTGCCAGTTTTAGTCACTGTGTTCACATGATTCAGAGGAGGCTCTGGCTTCAGGGCAACCCCCTCCCTCCCAACCACTTCCCTCTCGAGAGGCAAAGCCACATGCAGGATTATATAAGAGGGGGAGTCATAGCTTCTGACTGAGCCAGAATATCAACACACACGCCTCAGCTCTGGAGAGAGTCAAATGCTGGACACACTGCACGTTTTTACTATCTTTTGCTTTAATGAGCTTCATGCTTCCATTGTAAGAACATTTACCCAGTTGTGTATTTCTTTTTGTTGTACACAAAATATGCACATGCAATGCTTCACATGCATATAAAACACACACACATACACACAGGGTGTTAATGGTCTCAAGGTTTAAATCACGTTGTGCGTATTTTAGTTATTTCGGCCACAACTTGGCTCACTGCCCTCGTTTCCAGTCTCTCCTCCACGCTGCCTGGCCCAGAGAGGTGACAGTGCCTCCAAATAGACAAAATATGCTCTCTGTTACTTGCCAAGTATCATTAACTACATTTTAAAGCCCCTTATATCTTAATACCAGGAGTGCTTGTAAAGACACTCTAACCTTTTATGTTTTAAAGTGGGTGTCCCCGATGGATAAATAGTTTCTGAATGATTTAATTTTTTTGTTCCTGTTTCGATGACTCATCCACATGTTTACAAAGATATTGTTTTCCGTTTCACATTCTGTACATGTTTCTTTCTAACACTGCGTTTGCACATGATGCACATTTCTCTGACATGATCTCTACCCTTTCACTTTTTCACACCTCACTTTCACTATGTGAATCTGCGTCTCTGTGGCATTGCACCAGAATGACTTATGGGTTGGTTTGTGGTCAATCACTGATGCTTCCTTAAGTGAATCACTCATCCTTTCCCCCAAACGGAGGATGAAATGCCTTTCAATTTTCAGTGATGAATGATTTTCTTGTTTTCACTTTCACATGTGACTGGATTCATTTCAGTTTTATTCCTCTCTGCAGTAGCTGTTTTTCCTACCAGTATCTATAAGCATGTTAAGCATGCATAGGGTTTGTCCTCAGAAAGTAGCTCTTCCTTACACTAAAACAACATCGGAGTAATCTGTTTGCTCCAACAGATTCTTTGTGAGGATGCTCCCTTTTTTATCATGACATTGTGTTTTTATAAAGCTTTTGTGTAAGAAAATTTGGCCTGCTCATCCAGCTGCCTCTCTGGTAATAAGAAACATTGTTTCATGTGTTGGCTGAAGTGAAGATGTGAGATAGTTGCACTGTCCCGTTTAGAGCAGCCTGAGACTGATTAATCCTTGGGATGGTAACTTTTTTCAATCTGATTTCAGACTCATGTCTTATATTAAATGTCATGTTGTATACAGAGGCCTATTTTTAAGGTTTTATATTAATTTGCTGTAATGTACCTTTTATTTTACTGTATAATGTATCATGGTATGCAGTGCTTTTTATTTACATTACAAGCACATACAGTATAGTATCTTCACGTAAGCTGTGATACTGAATGTGGCTGTACATTTTCTTTGGTTAATTTCCACGTCCTCCCTGAATACGTCAGGAATCATTTCAAAGGAACTTGAAAGATTTATTGGATATTATTTTATTTTTGTTATTTATTTATTATAAATTAAGAAATGTATTACTTTTTATGGGAATAAAGTTATGAAACCGTAATGGATTTACGCTGTTTGATTTGGCTCTCCCCAACTAGAATATGCACACTGACTTAAACGTGTGTCAATACTAAGGTTTAATGCAAAATCGTATGTCTGTTAAGGTGATTCACCACTTGGATCCAGACTGAAATATCCCAACAACTATTTAATGTAGAGCCATAATATTTGGTTCAGGCATTCATGTTTTGCTCAAGATTAATTGTAATCACTTTTTTGATAACCTGATAAACCTTTCATGTAGCACCATCATCTGGTTAACAACATTTAGTTATTACTGAACTAATGACATTCCCATCAGCCTCAGCTACACTTTTACTGCAAATTTAGTGAATGTTAGCATGCTAAACTACATTGGAAACTACATTGGTGACCACAAACTTACCGACTTGACATGTTAGCATGTTAACATCAGTGTGAGTATGTCAGCATTTAGCTTACACACCCACTGTGCCCAAGTCCAGCTGCTACCATGGTTGTAGACTTAAAGCATCAGTTTGTAGGATTTAGTAGCTTTTATTGGTGAAGTTGCAGATTGCAAACAACTGAACACTGCTCGCGTCTATATTGAGGGAGTGAGTACGGGCTGTGAAGTGTCTCGGAGAATCTGGTAGCTGCGAAAAATGCAAAAGGCCTGATCTAGAGCCAGTGTTTTATTTGTCTGTTCATGGCTACTGTAGAAACATGGCGGGCTCTGCAGAAGAGGACCTGCTCCCTGTGCAGATATAAACGGCTCACAACAAAAACACAATGATTATTATTTGAATATGGTCATTTGTTTTCCCCAGATTTGATAATACAAACTACTAACTACCACTACAAACACTAAGTACGTGTCTCTTAAATGACTCTTCACAGAAATGCATCTGCAAGCTCAGATAACAGGATTTCACGAAGTGCTGTCCAGTTTCCATGAAGCATTTGGAGCCCTGGATTCCCCCCTGTATCCAGGTGACGTGAATATAAAGTGTTTGGGGGTTCAGTCCTCCAAGGGCTTAGGACGGACAGTGGGTCACTGAGACATGCCCAAATAAGCCAGTTCAATCTTTGTGGGTGAGATGTCAATGCAGTTGCCACCTGCTGTGGGGGTGGGATGAACACCCTGAAAAATTTAGGACAAGTGTCAATGAGCCGTCGCAGGGAGTTGGGAGAGGTCGGGGTTGCATCGGTATTATAAATACATATAGATAGCTATTTCAGAGGTGGTATCAAAATGTATTGTATATGATTTGTATAAGTAGCCTTTACTCAAAATAGACAGTATTGATGGAGGTTGGAAGAGGGAAACAGTTATATGATCAAATGTACTGCTCACAGTTAAAGTCTGAAGGAAACAATACTCGGTAGTGTTTGAGCTCTAGTGAAGAGTCACATGCAACAACGTTCTCTAAACTAAAGACTAGAGGCTGTGCACCCACCACTTAGAACTTTTAGTTAAGTCATCTTGAAATTTAAGAGCTGCAATAATATCCAGCTTGGTGTCATTCCAGCGGGGCCTTCATGTCTATGAAGACAGATAAAATGATATTGTGATGAAATCTGGTCTCTAAATCATCCCTCATGTAATGCTACATCTCTTTTCAACAAACAACTCTTTCAATATGCAGTCATGATTATCATGCCACCAACCTTTCGGTGCTTCCTGGAGCAACAGGTAATTGGACATTTTATATAGTGTTTTTGTAAATATATCTACAGGGTAAACTAAAATACTCTGCAGAACCAATTACAGTTTGATACGCTACCAAACCTACAACTACTACAACTCAGATGGAGGAGTTATTGAAGAATAGATGGGTTATGTTTCCAAAATGACGACAGGGTTACTCGCCAATCTTGGGCAAAGTTGTTTTAGGGTTAGGGAAGAAAAGGGGTTCAAATCTTGGAATAATGTATAAAATAATTATAATATACTATAATAGTATAATTTCTTTATCCCACTAACAATGGTGTTTTATTGGTACCAAATTCATACAGCAAAATGACACAGTTAATCCTGGTTTATATTATAAAGGGGGTTACATGTTAATCACTTAATAATTATTTCAGCCTCAAAAACAAAATATCTGACACATGGACATACAGATGGACATTTTTCCAATTTGCAGGAATAAACGCTTCAGAGACGTTTATATATTTAAAGAATGAAAGAATTATTGACACAAAAAGTTCCAAAGAAAAAGATGTTTATTGATAATCTATATAGAAATGATGCAATGTGCATCTCGGAGGGGACAACTGTGAGACAAAAATACTTTGGTACACTTTAATTTCCAAGTAGCACGAGAATTTTACGGACAAAGCAGCACGGTACGGTGTGGTGGCTCCTGCACATGCTTCAGGATAACAATTCCTTCAGATTTTGTATTTAACTGTGCAAGTTGTTGCATTATTGAACATTTGAAACAGTTATTTTAAATTTGATGCTGCATTTTGAACGAGCAAGGAATGCCATTGCTTCAACGAATATTGCACACTGAAAAATGTAATCCAGGCTCACAATGTAATTGATATTTAGAACACAAATTGCTGAGTTTTCAGTAACATGAATTAATTGATGATGTTCATATGATGTACAGTATAAAATTGTTACAAAAAGGCATATGTGATTTACAAACAATTCAAATTCTACAATACTAATGCCTAAACTGAACATTAAAAACTAGAATCCAGTGGTAGTTCTGCAGAGCACGTCTGCTGCGGACATGAGCACAATGGAGAGCTGTTAGGATGTTTAGGGAAAAAAAGTATGTTTTACTTTTTAAGTGATGTTCTCACAGATCCTACAAATAATTATGAATCAGAATGTTTGTTGTCAGATTTCTACTCTATTTTGTCATTGTCTTAAGGAGACAACTAGATACTGTATATCAAAGTTTACAATATCAAAAGGTTAGAAGCTAAAAATATTTCCTCCTGAAATGAGTTGCAAATGTAACTGCAATACCTTGCAACAATAAAAACAAATACTACAATAAAGGTGAAACGACATATAAAGTGCAAAGAGAGGTTTCAATAAATGCACTGGGACTGACTATAGTAGTCACACAGGCTGTGTACAAATACTCTAAAAATGCCACTTCCCTTTTCTCCTTACTTCCTCTTCCTTAGCTGTTTTTCTCTTTTATTATTTTGTGGATGGATCTTATTATGAATGCATTTCTCACAGTATTTGGCCAAGGCCTTGTTTAACTTGTAACTTAAAGGACGTCAAGCAAGATTAACTCTATACACTGCATATTGCCACGCAACTTTACGCATATGTACTCTGATAGATGTGGGCGGCTCGTGGTACATTCATTTTCACTGCAGGGATGAACAACAACAACAATAACAACAACAAGAGATTAGACGTTATCTTGGGGCAACGAGACTGCCACAATCACGTGAGGGTGTTTAGACGAATTTTCTACCTTTTTAAACGGTTAATTACTCGTTTAGTTTACTGAATTTATGTGAAGTGAGAATTTCTTCTATTACACCAAAAAAAAAAAAAGCTAATTCCTCGTCTCTCCGGAATCAACAAAAGGTAGTAAACATTGAACATCTTCTATCTCAAAATTCTGCCTAAACTGAGATCAGTGCCAACTACAGCGACAACAATTGTAACATCAACAATATTGATATAGTAAAAAATAAAAAACAATTACAAGAGAAAAAAATTACAACAATAATATATAACTCTCTTCATAGAAATCAAACCAGAGTATCTCTAACGTGAATATATTGGACAATGTAAACCTACCATTATCAGTGTTAGCAAATATGATATTAACACAGAAAGCACACCAATCTTATTCCTCTCACAGAGAGCGCTCACATCATTGTTTCTACAATGGTGTGGGTGGGCTTGATCAAGCCATTGTTCCCGTTTGGATCCAGGGGCTGTGTCAGCTCGCTGCCCTTCAAGTTGTACTCTTTTGGGCGAGAACTCACGCCTGACTTCGCCGGGGCTGCCACAGCTTTGATCCTCTGAGGAAAGGACATTTGAAGTTAGAATAATGATCATCACAAACTGGTTTAAGGCTCAATATGACAGCTATCACAGTTTAAAATACATTTCAAGATACACCATTTATTAAAGCAATAGTTTATAATAGTAATAGACCATTTTGGGGAATATGCTTGCCAAGAGTTAGTTGAGAGGATCAATACCATTGTCATGTTTGTATGCTAAATATGAGTCTACAGCCAGCCAGCCAGCCTTGGTAACGGCAAAGGGAGAATTGACTCTTGACAGACCGTTATGACCTGCAGGGCAATGGTCATGTGACCAACTGGAGTAGGATAGCTAGCACTACCGCTAGCGAGCTAATGAGCTAGCATGTTTACTGCCAGCTGACCCCTATTGGCTGTATGAGCTGTTACAGCGTTAATTAACTGACAATATTGACTGGGGGTTTGACGATCTTGTTTCATGAGTTTGTATTTTAAAAATGGTGCAATGGACACATCTCAGAAGAAATTGATGACTGATTATTACTTTTGTTGTCTAATAACAATGGCACTGAGCTGTATCTCTTCATTATTTGACATTTCTCTAGACTAATGTTAACATCAGCTAACCATAAGCGACCTTCTGTTGCTTAGATAGCTATTAAGTCTTTACTTTGTTTCTCCCATGATCATAAATTTTACATGGTAGACAAGCTAGCAATGCTACCAAAAATGAGCGCACTGCTGTCTCATTCACTGATGTGACTTTACATGCAGTAGTTCAAACTACCCATCCGTCCAAAACCCGCATATAAAATATCCCCTGGGACTGAATGCACATTGCTCCAAATATCAGTTTTTCTGAAAATACTTACTCTGGTATCCCCAACTTACGTACCTAACTGACACACTTATGATCTTTTCCTGAACCTAATCAAGTAGTTTTGGTGCCTAAACCTAACCAAACTGTGACCGTTTCACAACATTAACAACGGATATATTGTTGTTACCAGGACAACGAAGGTTACCTGACCTAGGTCCCCTGACTTCATCCTGTCCTGCATG